AACCTCGGTCAGAAGGGGAAGCGGTCCCGTTTACTCTGCTCCGAGAGCTGCCGCGCCGAGGTGCCGGGGGAACCGCTGCGCTGACCACGAGAGTCGCGCTGGCGACCCGTGTGTTTCCACCACTGGGGGATCTTCTGCTCCGTGAGCGACCAGACTTTGTCTGAAAGTGTGGCGTCCTCTAGTTCTCCGCGCCTTCCCTGAGAGCTGCAATCCCGGGATGTTAGCGATCGGCCATCTTGGATCGTTCTCCGATGATTTCAATTTTATGATTTCCTTTTACTTTTTCTATAGGTTCCAGGTGTCTGGTGAAATTCTCATTTTCATTTATTTTGATTAATCATAATTATTTTAATGTTCTGTTTTGAGACTTGAGTCTCACTCTGCCACCCAGGCTGGAGTGCAGTAGCACTCACCATCTTGCTTCACTGCAACCTCTGCCTCTTGAGTTCAAGCAATTCTCCTGCCTCAGCCTCCCGAGTAGCTGGGATTACAGAAACTGGCCACCATACCCGGCTAATTTTTATCTATTTATTAGAAATGGTGCTTTGCCATGTTGGTCAGGCTGGTCTCAAACTCCCGACCTCAAGTGATTCACCCACCTCAGCCTCCCAAGTGCTAGAATTACAGGTGTGAACCACCATGTCCAGATTATTTTAATGTTCTTGTCTAATAATTCCAATACCTGAATTACTTGGATCTGCTTCTATTGGTTTCCATCTTTTCATCCTGTTTCCTGGCATGTCTGTTATTTTTTGTTAAGTGGAAAAGACTGTACTGAAAACTGGAGACTCTCTTGATGTCTTACTCCAGAGAGGATAGAGCAGGAAACAGAGGACAGATAAATCTCCTTAATGAGTCAGGTTTGCCCTTACTCCTAAAGCACAGACTTTCTGTATTCTAAACTGGAAGCCTGGAGGTACTAGGGCCCTTCCTCCTTGGCACAATTTCCTATTTTGAAATCCAATTTTGTTTCCCTAGCAACGCAACATTTTCCTTAAAATACCTCCTTAGCCTCTGAACTTCTTAGCTGCTTTTTCTGCTTATGTTATTTCTCCTTATCCATGTGCAACTTAGTAGTAAATCCCTTGAGAGAAAACTGCACAAAGAAAATGGAACCACCATTATTTTCCTTTTCTCCAGATTCTTGGCCTCTCAAATCCTGGCTGCCTTAATTGCTCTCCAGTGATGTGAGATAGATGTCTATTTCTCTTTGTAATCCTGTCAGTTGTTTCTTAACATATTTTGAGACTATATTGCATATATATTTACAAGTTGTACCTTTTTGTTGTCCTCAATATACAATATCCTTTTGTCCCTTTTGATAATTTTTAACTTGAATTATTTCAGCAGATATTAAAAATGCCACACAGCTTTTTTTTTGTCTGTATTTCCTGGTGCCCTTTTGCCTAGTGTATATGCTATCTCCCTTTAGTTTTCAAACCTATCTCTTCATGTTGAAAGTTTTGTAGGTAGCATATTATTAGCTTAAAAAAAAATCCAAGCCAGGTGCAGTGGCTCATGCCTGTAATCTCAGCACTTTGCGAGGCCGAGGCGGGTGGATCACTTGAGGTGAGGTGTTCAAGACCCGCCTGAACAAGGTGAAACCCCATCTCTACTAAAAATAAAAAATTAGCCAGGCATAGTGGTACACACCTGTAGGTGGAGGTTGCAGTGAGCCAAGATTGTGTCATTTATTTTGCCAGGCCATTGTACTCCAGCCTGGGCAGTAAGAGTGAAACTGTTAAAAAATTTTGAGATTCTTTAATTGGCAAGCTTCACACATTTACTGTAATTACTATTAGGCATTTTTGCCACTGAATCTACTTTTAAACCCTCCCTTCCTGTGTTCTTTGGATAGATCAAGGTTTTTTTTCTGTGGACTTAAGTATACATTCTTTGTTCCTATGGTGGTTATCCTGAAGACCATACTGTTAGGCATTCCTACTGAATGTTAAACTCATAATTTATATTCCCTTTGTAAGACAAATAGTACATTTATATCCCTCTTAGCTCATCTCCTACCCACACTCCACCATCCCTTTTATAGTCTCTAGAATTTCAATTCCAGGCTTTGAAACTTTACTTTTTCCTAGTCTTTTTAAGACAACTTTACTAGGATATTGGACATTACCTGCTAACCTTCCATTTACCTGAATGTTCCTCCTCCATTTTCAATTTTCTCCCAAGTTTTTTTTTTTTGGCAGGGGACAGGGAGGTGGGAGAGATGAAGTCTTGCTCTGTTACCCAGGCTGGAGTAGAGTGGCATGATCTTGGCTCATTGTAATCTCCACCTCCGGGTTCAAGGGATCCTGCTTCAGCTTCCCAAGTGGCTGGGACTACAGACATGCACTACCACGTCCAGCTGATTTTTGTATTTTTTAGTAGAGGCAGGGTTTCACTATATGTTGGCCAGGCTGGTCTCAGACTCCTGACCTCAGGTGATCTGCCTGCCTCAGCTTCCCAAAGTACTGGATTACAGGTGTGAGCTCCAACAGTTTTTAAAGGAGGGTTTTGTGTAAAACCCAAGGCCTTGTAAACCTAAGCATATGCCCTCACAACTAGACAGTTTGCCTGGATATCAAATTTTAGGTTGAAGATAGTTTATCTTCTTGCTGTTGCGGATCTGACGGCAAGTGATACTTTTCTCTTTTTTTTTTTGAGATGGAGTCTTGCTCTTTCACCAGTCTGGAGTGCAGTGGCACAATCTTTGCTCACTGCAACCTCTGCCTCCTGGGTTCAAACAATTCTTCCGCCTCAGCCTCCTGAGTAGCTGGGACCACAGGCGCATGCCACCACACCCGGTTAATTTTTTTGTATTTTTAATAGAGACGGGGTTTCATCATGTTGGCCAGAATGGTCTCGATCTCTTGACCTCGTGATCCGTCCACCTTGGCCTCCCAAAGTGTTGGGATTTCAGGCATAAGCCACCGCGCCTGGCCAATACTTTTTTCTCTATTGGTGGCCCACACTTTTACTCTGGAAGTTTTGAGAGTTTATCTTTGTATTTGTTTTCTTTTTTTTTTTTTAGATGGAGTTTCTCTGTTGTTACCCAGACTGGAGTGCAATGGCACGATCTCAGCTCATCACAACCCCCGCCTTCTGGGTTCAAGCAATTCTCCTGCCTCAGCCTCCTGAGTAGCTGGGACTACAGGCGCGCACCACCATGCCCAGCTAACCTTTGTATTTTTAGTAGAGACAGGGTTTCACCTTGTTGACCAGGATGGTCTCGATCTCTTGACCTGGTGATCCACCCACCTCAGCCTCCCAAAGTGCTGGGATTATAGGTGTGAGCCACTGCGCCCGGCCTGTATTTTTCTTAAATCCCACTAATAGCATATCCAGGCTTGTAAGTTTTGTCATTCCTAACATTATTTTTTCAAATTTTCTTCAAATATTCTTTCTTTCCCACTCTTTTGGGACTTCTGTTATTTGGATGTTATTTCCATCCTCTATAGTCAGTTTCTAATTTTATCTTTTTATACAGTACTGCTTTCTGAAAGTGTATCTCAAGTGGATCTTTCAGTTCATTCATTCATTTCCCAACAGTACCACTTCTGCAGTATCTCATTCTTGTCTTCTGTTTCAACTATTTCACATGCAATACTTTTAGTCTTACTTTGGCTTCGCACTGCTATCTTCATTCTTATTGTAATTTCTTACGTTAAATTCTTAGCCCATGTTTTCCAATAATTTAGCTTCAGTTCAGTCTGTGGCTCTTGCCTCTCTCTGCATGTACTTCTCCAGCATCTAGTTACTTTTGCTCTGAGTCCAAACTCTCCTGCAGGTATCACCCCTTGGCAGACAAGCTCAGGCATCCAGAACAACTATAGACACTGTTTGCTTTCCCTCTAACAAGTATTAGGTCAAAGTTTCAACTCCAAATTATTAAGAGTAGCATGGAAAGAATCTGTCACCTTAGGTTGCAATTCGCCAATTCTAGGATTTAGGAGCAAAGAACCTCTAGGAATGGCAGACTGAAAAACTCAGATCTGATACCCCAACTAAGGACTACTAGAAAAACTGGACACATCATGAAATATTGAAGTTCCATGTGGGCCATGACAGGATTCTTGCTCTATGTAGCATCCTTATTATAATCTTCTCAAAGGTGCTCCAAAGTCTGAGTTTTGTCCCCATCCAGTGACCCTAGACAGGCTTTGCCTTGTATCCCTGTTGCCTGGACAGTCTGTTCTTTCATGTGTGTGAATTGCAGATTTTGTCCTCCCCCTGATTATTTGCATTCTTGTGCAGACATTCCTCAAAGATTCAAAAGTCAAGCCACTGTAGTTGAACTAAGGTCACCACCTTGTGCTAAGAAGTTTTGTAAAGGTAAGATGGTATTGCGCTGAAGGTTACTATGAAATACGCATATGAAACACTGTGCAGTGCCCATCAATTTAGAGTGGAAACTTCCCAGTTCTCCCTTGTTTTGGGTCCTAGGCACTGTCCCCCCAGCCTTCAATGTTGCCTTTTATCTCCTTCCACATTTCTATTTTCATTAACAAAGGAAGCCAATGATCATCTCATGTCTCTCTGACCAGGGAAGAGTTATCATTTCCAAACTGGGCCTGCTGGAGAGAATGAGGGTCATACTCCCCAGGCACACTTGACAGTCAACCACAATCAAGGATGGTGGTCCTTGCTGCTTTAGGTTGTAATATCCCCGTCCACACCATGAAAGCCTTTCCGACTTCTGACCACACGAGCCATAAACTGTCTTTCTCAGCAGCTGGTTGGGAGATGAGTGGCCAGATGATGTGTGTTCCAGTTACAGTGCCCTCAGGGGTATCAATCTGTTGGTCCTCTGAATTCTTTTGGGTAGCTGAGGTTGGACTGGTTGGCCCTTTGGCCTGGTTCTGTAATATAATAGCACAAGTATTGAAGAATCAATCAATACCTGCACCAGGGCTATGTCCCAGCGATCATCTCAGTGCATATGAGCTGGCAGTTGGGGGTGAGGATGATCTGGTGTGGGTAGTGACTGGTGTCTCTTTCTTCAGAAAAATATCACAGAAGCCTACCAGGTCAGCAAGAAGCCTCCAAAGTCCATGGCAAAGGTGATTAAAATTACAGCCCCTGCCAACAAGACCATCTACAACTATAGTATTCAGACCCTGAATTCTATAGAACTTGCCAAAAAGGAGCTGTATAAAGAGATGGCCAAGGTGAGTGAGAGACCTAGACAGATGATGGCAGTTGGCAAATCCAGTGAATTCTTTCCTCTGACCGTGACTGCCTGGAGGTCAGCATGTGATCTCAGGTCTACAGATGAAAGCCAATCAGCTAGGGGAAGTAGATAAGGCTCAGAGAGGTGTTGAGAGGTGTCCTATTCCACAGTAAATGTGAACCCTCCACACCTGAGGGTAAGCCCGAGATCCTCGGTGTAAGCTCAGATGTACACGAAGAACAACTGTACTGTCCTTACTTCTGGGGAACTTTATGATTGCTGCTTATGAAGGCAGCTGCCACACAGAAGGGAAAGCCATGGTTCAGACATCCAGCACACATTAACTTTAGGAAACTGCTTCTCCCATCAAAGGGGACAATAATATGACCCTTACAGGGATGCTGCACAGTTCAGATTCTCTCAATGCACTATTTACGTTGTCAGGACCTATGATTATGCCCCAAGCTGTTTCTCATTCCTAGCTGGAAATTCAGGATTGCTATCAGCCCATCTACCCAGATCTATCTGCCCTCATTTCTAGGAGCCAAGAAAGAGATTCACGTACTCACAGAATTACCTCTCAGCCATGGTGGAGCCCCTGGACTTGAAGGAAGAGGAAAAGCAAGCCCAGAAGAAATCCCAACAGGCCTGGCTAACAGCCAGGGGATTCCAAGTGACAGGTCTTCAAGGTGACACTGAAGGCAGCTTTCAGCATCTCAAGCTGCCACACATCAAAGAGCTGAATGAGGTCCACAGGGAGGAGCAGGGCTTCAGGTGGGATGTCCATAGGGACCCTTCTCCTCCTGATTTACTTACTTCCCCAATTTAGGAGTGGAAGGAAAACTCCCTGTTTGCTAATGTACTGGAGCCTGTGTTGGATCGAGACAGGTGGAGCTGGGACAGGCGCCACGTGGACTTTGATCTGTACAAGAAGCCACCACCTTTCCTCGAGCTGCCCCCTTCGCCTACACCAAAGTCTGTAACAGGTAACAGGCAAGGCTTTGCCAAACTGGGCCTCCTGATGCTGTGGGCAGGCAGGAGCTGTGCCACTCTGCATCTTCAGCGGTATCCACTTTGTTTACACTATCAACCAAACTTTCTATGCTAAAAAATCAAGATGCAGAATGGGTCTGATAGAAGAAAGTAAATGCTGGGCTGGAACTCAGACCAGGATTCTAGTCCCAGGTGTGACATTTGTGTGACTTCAGGTAAATCCCTTCGTGCCCTGCGCCTGGTTTCTTGGCTATAAAGTGGGGAAGTTGGAAGACAGGTCTAAAGGCTTCCTGAGCTTCAATGGGACCTTCCAGCTACAAAGATACTGCCAGTTCTCTCTGTGGGGGAAAGGCCGAGACAGGAAACACAGGTCTTGCTACACTAGTCCCTCCAAGTCCTCTTCCTCTTTATCCTTATGAAAATTGACCTCAGAATCATCTCGAGGTTGACAGAGAACTTGTTGTTGGTTAACAGAGCCACAACCTTTGTTCAGGGAGAAAGAGACATAAGCCTATCTAGCAATAAGGTCTGTCAGAGAAACCACTCCCAAAAAACTAGGTGAACACAATGGCTTGCTCTCCTCCCCTGACTCCTAAGGACAGGTGATCACAGCTCCATGGAAGAGCTAAACAAGTTGAAAAATCACTTGCTCCATTTGCCTAGCCTTGGCTCCCTCCCTCCCCAATGTCCCTGGAGCTCCCAGGGTTGCCTGAAGAGACCCTGCTCTCTGTGGGCATGTCCCAGGCCCACAGTTACTGCTGTGGCTCTCGAGGGGGCTCCAGCTAGGAGAGCTGTCTACCCTAGAACACAAGAATGCCTCCTAGTGAGCTCCACTGCCAGCCTTCCCAGCAAGAGTCTCCTGGGCACTTCACTGGTGAAATCATTTAAAAACACATGCTGGGGCCTCCTCTTCCCAGAACATGTTTATGAATAATTAGCAACTACAGATGAGGAGAGGCTTGAACTGGTTGTTAGCCCTTTTCAACCCCAGATGGATGAATGGAGAACTTACTGCTGACAGAGGCCTTACACGCCACCAGCCTAGAGTGAAGCCCCCTTCCAGATGGCTGCCCAGAAAGGGGTTGGGGGTCTGAAAGCCCCTTCCCAAACTTCCCCAGTGCAAAGAAACTCCAAGCAGCCTTCTGTCCAGAGGTGTGGATGCTTCATTTTGTGCAAAATGCTTCCTTGTCATCATTAACAAAACAGATCTTCAGGTTTCACTGAGGCTATTTACAAGATAACAATATTTATAAACATTCCCATTTTAAAAACTAGTTACCAAACCCCTGGCAGAATGCTCAGGCCAGTCCACTCAGCTAGCTCAGCTCTACAAGTTCCCAATCTCCTCCTCACCTATTTCCAGCATCACAGCAAATTAGGAATATACTTGGAAGAAAAAGAGCTAGCTGCCTCCTCTGTGCTCAAGGGAATGTCCACTATAGGTATTTTAGAGCTCCAGACCACCCAAGGACCACAACAAAGCTTGAAGTCTGCCACAGTGAGCATGCCTGGGACCTGGCATCTCACACAAGTACCAGCAGAACAGAGGCTGGAGAAATGCAAAGGCCTGCTGGGGCAGCCTGGAGATACCACTCTTCCTCTCGAGTGGAGGCCAGTTCTTGTAAAGAAACTGAAGTCCCTATGTGGGAACATCAGCTAAGGCAGCCTCCCCACCTCCTGAGAAAGATAAAAACTAAAGGCTCATAACCACAAGGCACTGCGGCCTGCACTATGTGCCTGCTCCTTAGCATTCTGGGCCCTCCTTGCAAAGTGAGGACAAAGTGGACCTGAAGCCATCACCAAAGGGTGGTTCTCAGGGTCCTGTTGTCACCCATTGAAGGCTGGTTCTGAGGAATGGTGTGATGAGTACAGCAAAGGCTAAGAGTATACAGATTGTGACATTTTATAGTCTTCTTTGTTAAATGGTTCCTGGTACATGTTTTAAGTGCCTCTGCTGCTAGTTTAAATGAATGACCCAGACGCAGCTTTCAAGCTGTTTCCTAGAGAATGTGTCGTTGAGCAGAAATGGCTATTCCCACCTGACGCAGGTCCCCACCCGCCTTGCCCTGGAGGCAGCAGCACAAGCCCCAGTTTCTACTGTGGTGTCTCCTCAATGACCAGAATACCCACCAATTCCAGAGGTCAGCAATTCCATTCTTTCTCTCTGGCTCAGTTCAGAGGCTGTGATGGTCCTGTTAGCACTGCACGCAGGATGAAACCTGAAAGAGGCTCCCCCAGGCCAGGAGACAACCCTTCAGGTGCAGACTGGGAACAAATGGCTCAACCTGTGATGATAAGCCCAAGTTCTCCACCTTCTGAAAAAGTAGTGACAGTCATCCAGCAACGGGCCACAGCTGGGGGCAAGTGGTGGCAGGGGACACTATTCCCTGCCTCAGTACGTCCTGTCCAGAGGGTGGGCACAGATATAGGTTCGTTTCTCAAGGATCTGCTGGGACATTTTCTTAATCTGCTCATCTAGGTTTTCTGGAGCATCTGGGAGGAAAAAGAGATGGTGGGTGATTTTCTGTACTGTGGTAAGACATGGCTGAGTGGGGACATTTTCCCACAAAGCCCACCCCCCATGAAGCAGCCCTAAGGGTGACCCCCCTTCCTCCAAACCCCTAGCAAGTGATTCTGGGTTGCAGGGAGAGAAAGCGGGTAGAGCTTCATTCTTAGTTACAAAGGGCTCATCCTGCTCATCTCTAACCCCCAGATCTCATGGGGTGGAGCTGCCGCTTGTTCTTTAAATGCCCCATCTGTGATTCCAACACACTGGAGGAGAAACCATTTGAGCACTCTCTATAGTGCAAAACCCATCAGCACTGGGTAGGGGGGTGCCTGAGCCACCCCCTAGATCAGGACCTGCAAAAAGCATATGCCACTCTTAGCGAGTGCCACAGTGCTAGCACCTACCCCCATTACTTGGTAATAGGACTGGGCTCTGCAAGGACATTGACCCAGAGTCTCAGGCCAACATGACTGTGAGGGTCAGAACTGGACTGAGCTGGGCATTCCCAGGTATGGTTGAGTGGCTATAAAAGAGGAAGAGCAATGCAGACAAGACTGGGGAGCACGAGCAAAGCTCTCTGTTCTCTCAGCCAAGGCCTGAGCCCTCTGCAAGGCACTGCAAGGTCAGTGGGTAAAAGGGCAGATAAAATGCTGTCTCCTAAATCTCCAGATCTTACAACCAGGTGCTCCTCACTTTGTAAGCCTTCCCAGGACAGCTTCAAGAATATAGTCAGGGCTGGGCATGGTGGCTCATGCCTGTAATCCCATTTTGGGAGGCCAAGGTGGGTGGATCACCTGAGGTCAAGAGTTGGAGACCAGCCTGGCCAACATGGTGAAACCCCATCTCTACTACATATACAAAAATTATCCAGGCATGGTGGTGTATGCCTGTGATCCCAGCTCCTCTGAAGGCTGAGGCAGGAGAACTGCTTGAACCTGGGTTGCAGTGAGCAGAGATTGTACCACTGCACTCCAGTCTGAGTGACAAGATGATACTCTGTCTCTATCTCCAAAAAAAAAAAAAAAACAGCCAGGCAGCAGGCTGGGCAGATGCCAGGGGCTCTGCACTTGCTTGATCTCAAACTGCCTTGGTGAATGGAGCAGCTTTGCACCTACAGTGCCTGGCAGGCACTCTACAGCTAAGCCCAGGCTTACCCAGGCCCTCACTCAAGGCAAAGGTCTGTGAGTAGCCAGCAGGCACTGGGAGCTTGACAGGGTCCAGAAACAGCTCATCATCAACAGGGGCCCAGAAGTGGGCCCTTCCTTCCCTCCCCCAAGACATGCCACTCACACTTGTCCAGCTGAGAGAGGCTGAAGAGATTCTGGAAGTAAGCTTCCACGCAGAAGGTGTTGGCCAAGAGAATCTGCCAGAACCGAAGACAGAAAAGATGTGCCCAAATCCCTGTAATCTGACCTCTGACCTCTGAGCTTCAAAAACCCAGCCTGTCAGCCAAACTGGGTAGTATGGGAGGGGTCAAAGGGCTTGGCTCAGGAGTCACCCCTGACCCAAACTAGCTCTTTTCCCAAAAGCAAGTGACTCAACATCTGAGCCTGTTTCCTCTGAGAGGCAGAGAGCTTGGTATACAGTGGGTCCTCAGAGACTGCACCTGCCTCCCTCCAGCAGAGTGGGCAATGTGCAGGGTCCGCCCCTCGTTGTGGGTGGGGACACTGGATCAGGAACCCCCATCACTCACCTGTGTCTTCTCTCAGGCAGGAAGAAGAAACGGAACAGCCTCATCTCCTAAGCAGCACAGCCTCTCCCATAGCCTCCCCATGCAGGGCCTATGGACACCCCCTGAACTGGCCCAGCCCTCCTCTGCTGGGACTAACAAGGCCCCCCTTACCCGCCCACCCCCTCCCCAACAATCAATTTCATTAAAGTGCAGCAGGACAGAGGCCAGCAGCCAGGCCCTGTGTGAAGCTGGGCAGTGCTCACCTCGTGGTCGTGGTTACGGAGCCCGATGCGGATGGAGCGGCTGGCCCGCGACAGTACAGCCGTCATGCCATACAGGTTGATGAGGATGTTGGCTACCCGCTTCAGCACCAGCTGCTCCTCCCCGATAGTCTGGGATCACAGAGACTCTGAGTGGAGACTCACTACCTAAACCAGCCCCCAACATGGTCCCTCCCAGGGCGGCACCTTTGCCTGTCTTAGTCTCCCGTTTTCCTTGAGAAAGTGGAGCCAGTAACACCTTTCCCTTCAGGTTGCAGGAGAACCGGCTCTTTGGTCTGTTTTCCCTTCTCTTTGGTCTCTAGATTCAGGGAGGGGGTTAAGGCATGACCAGGTCCCAGAAACTTGGCTAAGACCAACAGCCAGTGCCTACTGTGCTACTGTCACCTTCGGCAGTAAGAGCCCCACCAATCAGATCCCCAGATTCAGGCCCCAGGTGGTGCTGCCCTTCTGATTCTAGGGAGCCTCTCTTTACCTGGAAGGTGCACAGAAAAACACAGCAGAAAACTCACCCAACAAGGGTGCCCTCTGAATAGCTAAGTGGGCCCCAGGACAGGCTGATAAAGCCAGCCTGACCTCAGCCACCCCATTCCTCCAGGGTGATCAAGATTTCTGTTCTAGGCCTGGGAGGGCCTGGTTACCTTGCCAAAGCGGAGCAGCAGCGTCTCCACGGTCCGGCCGAAGTAGTAGGTGTTCTCCTCTAACTTGTTGGCACTATCCTATTAGCCAAGACCGGACTCAGTTCAGCACCTCATCCCTACCATGCCCTGTCCTGTCCCACAGCTCAGGTACCAGGCAGAGATGCCCCATCTGGGGGAAGCAATCCAAGGTGTCATGGACTAGCTGGTGCTCCCCAACTTTCCCTGGAGGAGCCTAGACCGCCCCTACAGTGAACCTTTCTGCCATGAGATCTGGCAAGAGGGCATGCAAGTAGGGGGTATGCCTTCTGGGCCCACTCACCTCAAGACTGGGGTGCACGACTCCAAGTTTGCCTGTCAGCCCCATGTCCACGGTTCTGCCCGTGAAGTCCCAAAGCCTCCGGCCAACAGTCTCCATGACTGTGCTCACACTGGCCCGTTTAAGCTCACTGCAGAAAGTCCGTGGTCCCGTAACTGGAAGCCTTGCTGCTAGTGCTCACTGTCCAGCAACATGGCCTCCCTGGCCTGGGTATGCTGGGCCCCTGGCTACAGGCTGAACTCTCCCCACCCCATCAATTTCAGGAGAGTAGCCAATCTCCTCAGGAGTGCCACACGTGTGCTCCCCCATGAGGGGTGGAGTCACAGCCAGCTTCCCAGTGCCTGTTCCCAGTGCCTGTCCCCCGTGAAGGAGACCAAATTCTACTAGCAACCTATACTTGGCCTCCAGCAGTGATTTTGGATTGTTGTGCCCCTAGGATGGGGATGGAGGGGAACAGGAGGGAGGCCTGGCACCTTTAAGGGGATACCTCTCATTCTTCAGGTTCTGAAAAACCAGTTGCCTCCAGTATGAGGGACCAGAGGGGGGATATGGTGTTCACGTTGAAGCTATAGGCTGGTATGGCCATAGGGCAGGACGGCGAGGGCTTCCCTGGGGAGGAAGCCCCCCCACCCACCACCACAGGGGAAGGTCTCCTCTGCAAGGCTATGCCACACCTCCATGCCCCCCGACTCCAGGCCAAGGCAGCCCTTTCCTCCTGCTGCCCTGGACTGGCCCCTGCTGGGCAAGTGTGGGACCCAAGAAACACACAGTGACAATGGGACCTACTGGATCCTGGCGGTTATGATGCGGCCGGCATACTGCAGACCCGTCAGGGCGATGTACATCCGGAGAATCTCGTTGGTTCCCTGTGGCCAGTAGTGTAAAGGTCAAAGGCTGTCCCCTACCCTCTGCCAGGCAGCTATGGTGGTGCCACATGGCTGGGTAGGCCCAGCCACTGCCTGCTTGCCCATGCCACAGAAGCCACTGCCCCTGAAGTAGCTAGGAGCAGGGCTCTGACCAGGGCTCAGGGAGCACACAGGGATGAGGAGGGAGCTCACCAGATGGCCATGGGCTCCCATTGGGACCCCCCCCCATCTCTCCATGACCAGCCTCACGTGTGTCACGTATTTCTCCAAGTCTCCAGCTCCTCTTTAAAATGGAAACTAGCTTCATTGGGTGGTGAGGGGTGCCTGGGGCTCAGCCAGTGCCAGACAGACACTGCTGGCTCCAGGTGGAGGCCAGACTCCTCACAGAGGCCACAAATTGCTGAACAGAAATGGCATCTAGAAGCTCCTCAGTGCCAGGTGTCATCACCCAGAGGGCTACATGTTCCCTACTCCCCACACCTGTGATTCTGATCAGAGAGTCTGGTAGGTTCTGCTCCCTCTGCACAATGGTGCTGTGTGTCAGGTACAGGAGCCTGACCCAGGTCACACAGCCAGCACCTTGGACTGAGGACTGTCTCCTGCAACCAGGCTGATACCACGGATTACAGGACTCCCTACAGGAAAACGGGAGGACTGTGGAGGCCTCCAGGCACACCAAGCAGGCTCCAGACAGGAGATTCCACCCCACAGCGAGAGTCCTGTGTTTTTCCAAGGCCTTCAGGGCTTCTTGAACCCTGCTGACCACCCCAGCCCCAGAGAAGCCCAACCCTCCCAGGCTGAGGGAAGAGCTGAGACCGCTCCAGTGCCGTCAGGCTGGCCCTTGCCCTGTCTGTCCACTAAAACAGTGGAGATGGCTGGAACCCAATGGGCAGGCTGGGAACAAAAGCAGCCAAGGAGGACAAGACCACATTCCCAGCGGCTGACCACACCCCTCATTACCAGACCTGCTGCTCCGGCCCAAACCCTTTCCCTGTCTCAGGCCTGCCTCCTGTGTACGTACTGCACCGTCATTTCCCACCCACCCTGCTGTGTTCTCTAGCCCCTCCCTCCCAGCAGGAGAACCCCTGGCCTCTGGCCTCATCCCTGCAACTCACTCTCCACATGAGGCCCTGGAGGGATTTCCCACAACACAGATACAACCAAATAATGCCCTGCTTAAAGATGTTTTATGGCTTCCAAATTTCTCTGCTGTCAGTCAAGGTCTTCCACAGTCTGGCTGCTTTTCTAGCCTTCCCATGCACCTTCTGCTACCCCCAAAACCCACTGTCTGGCATAGCACACCTAGCAGGACTGACTGCTGCTCCCAGAAAGTCCCTCCCTCTCTCTTCATTCACCTTGTGCCAGCAGATCAGTCTCATCTGGGCCTGGCGCACTCTATTTCCCTACCCTTCAGAACACATTGCCCTGCCCGCCCCCCAGCCCTTGTCAAAGCCCCTTCTTTCTGCCCCTAAGGGCCAGGAACACGCGCTGCAGAAAACTCTGGCTGCCTCTGGAGGATGCCCACTCCCTGCCTCTTTGTACTTGCACTCTGTCATCTCCTTTGGTCAGCACAATCAGAACACAGCACCCAAAGTCTCTGTGGCCTAATTCCCTCCTCTACCACCTGGCACGTGCTAACTGAACCAACTCTTCAGTCTTGTGACTTCATGGAGGGCAGCAACTGGGAATGAGACATGCCAGGGCTAGCAGAGTCCTTGAGAGCCAATCAGAGCATGCAATCCAGCCCTGGGCTGTGGGGACCACTTCGGAGACCTCTGCAAGGCCCTGAGCAGCTTCTTTAGGACCAGGCAAGGTGGGGGTGGAGAACAGCCTAGCTGGTAGCAGGGCCACTCACCTCGAAGATGAGGAGGATGCGGGTGTCGCGCAGCATGCGCTCGTACGCAGAGTCCCTCATGTAGCCCAAGCCCCCAAAGATCTGCAGCGCCTCATTCACACACTGCCAGGCAGCCTCAGAGCTGAATACCTGTGGGCCCAGGGCAAGGTCAGCATGGGATGTCACACTGATTCCCTTCCAAAAGGAGGACCTATGCTACAGGGATCTGGGTGGCTGGGGAGGCATGGGAGGCACCCAGACTTGGGGAGGACATCAGCCAGGGAGGAACTCGAGGGGTGATGTGGGCAAGTCCTTTGCCTTCCTTGACCACACTGGCCAGCTTGTGGTCCCCACCCCACCATGACCTTCTGGGCCCACCTTCACCCCTCTGTACCTGGCTGAGCTCCTCTTTCTTTAAAACCCATTTAAGATCTTCCCTTCCCCAGAAAGCCTGACCTGTTCCTGCCCAGCCCTGGTGGCATGACTTCCTTCTGTCTCCGCACACTATGAGCACCTTGGGGGCAGACATACTGCCATATTAAGCTCTAGGCTTAGCATATGGAAGAGGCTGGCCCACAGCAAGCTAATGTCTGTGGTCACTGTTCATGGGTGACAAGACGACGAGGTGATACAACACATGCAAATGCACCCAGTATGCAGGCTGCAATGAGAAAAGACTCAAATGCCACCCAAGATGCCCAACCTTTTTTTAAAAATTTTTTTATTTTTTTCAGGGACCTTCCCACTTCAGGATCCCAACCTTATAGGTAGACTCACCTGCTGATACCAGAATGTTCACTTCTCTAAACTGCTATACCTCTCACCATTTCTCTCAGGAGCTCAATTCCAGCTTAAAAACAATTGTTGGGGGCACCAAAGTAGGGTCCCCCAAAGGGTAGCCATCTTTTTTACACAGTGAAAAATGATACCCTCCACCGTGAACAAAACAAAAGCAACAGAAAACTCTAGTATCTACCTCAACCAAATAAGATAATCTTCCCACCTCAGCCTCCCAAGTACAGGTGTGTACCACAACGACAGCTGATTTTTGTATTTTTTTGTAGAGATGGAGTTTTGCCATGTTGCCCAGGCTCGTATACTTAGTTTTTTTTTTTTTTTTTTTTTGAGATGGAGTTCACTCTTGTTGCCCAGGCTGGAGTGCAGTGGCACGATCTCGGCTCACTGCAACCTCTGCTCCCTGGGTTCAAGCGATTCTCCTGCCTCAGCCTTCCAAGTGGCTGGGACTACAGGTGCCCGCCACCTTGCCTGGCTATTTTTTTCTATTTTTAGTAGAGATGGGGTTTCATCATGTTGGCCAGGCTGGTCTCGAACTCTAGACCTCTGTGATCCACCCACTTCAGCCTCCAAAAGTGCTGGGATTATAGGCGTGAGCCACCATGCCTTGCCATATATTTAGTTTTTAAGAGGACGTTTTGAAACCAAAAAGTAGGAAGGCCATAAATTAAGGAAAAAAGTTCTTCTCACAAAAGCCAGCTGCAATGTTATTATTCTAAAAGGACGTTAACAGAATGGTCTCCTTCTGCTATAAACTGCTGATCCACTGGCAAAAGCTTGGTAGAAACTGCACTGTGGGAGCATGGAGCCTTCCTACAAACTGCTGCTCACCAGTCACTTCCCTGCTGCTGCAGCTCCCCGCCCACTGCCTGTCTATCCCTGGAGTGCTGCACAGGGCTAGTGCATCATAAATACTGGATCAATGACAGGAGGAAGATGATAGGCAACAGCATAGGCTTGAAAGGTCACAGTGAGGGAGCTTTCCCAAGCCTCCCTCCAGCGCCAGCTCTCTGGCTATGCCACTGTTACCTTCACCATGGCCGCCTCAATGGAGCAGTCGGGAAAGCCCGGTTGGTCTAGCATCCCTGCTGTGAGGTAGGTCATACTCTCCATGGCATAAGCCTTCTGAGCCATCAGTGCAAACTTCTCCTGGAGTATTCAGAAAAAAACACAAGAAGCAATTTGCATGTGCTGAGAGTCAAATCTTCAGAACAGGAGAGAAGGTAATTAAGTCAGAATCCTGAATGCCCAAGAAAAGCAAGCCCAGCGACCCTTGTTAAATAAAGCCTTAACTAGTCTTCTTCCCAAATCACCACAGAAGAGTGACCAGTACAGACATCAAAAGAACACAGTCATGTCACACAGTGAAATCCACAAAGACAGCACTCAACTGTCTATACCTGAATCAATCCAAATTCGCTGAGTCTCTTGTTAAACTGTTTCCTTGTGCAGGCATACTCAGCAGTCATTTCTGAGGAAGAGCAGAGTCATTAGAAAGAACTGGAACTTTTGTTATTGAAACATAATTTCCTATGGCCATCATCCTTACCCTTCCCACAGGCAGGCACTATGAGAAGCATGTCTGCTGAGATCAAATGCCCCAGAAGCTAGTAACTCCACTTGTCAGCGCCCATGGGTCAGAGGAGAACCACCCCTCCTAATGGCATCTACAGTTTAGCATCAGATACAGACTTGAATCCTGGCATTGGTTCTTACAACCAGTGGCCTGGGCCAAGCATGTCACCTCCTGAAGATGCAACCAGGTGGAAGGCAGAAGGCTCCTCACACAAAGCCAGGCACAGAGGCCCCAGAGAGAGGCGGTGCAGGCCCAAACCCAGCGCACAGTGCTCCTGACCAAAGCAGGTGGGGCTGCCCGGCTTGAATACTCAGGCTGGGATTTCCAGGCATGTGGTTGTGACCAAGTGCTGAGCTCTGAGGGCCCATGAATTAGATGGCGCCTCTCCCAGGCAGAAGCACCTCACCACCACCACCTGCCGCCCATAGCTATGTTCTCCACAGGCTCTCCCAGGTGTGGCGCACTCAGGAGGTGAACAGGGCTGAGTTCCCCAGAGGACTTGCAAGTGAGAAAAGCCCTGAGCCTGGAGCCTGAGAGCTTTAGTTTTGGGTCCAGTTGCCCTCTCTGAGCCTCTGTCTTCTCATCTCTAAAATGGAGGTAAACCAAAACAAGTATGCCCATCTTGGCCCAAAAGAGGCCGGCCCAGAGCCTGGCATCCAAAGAGGAGCTTCATAAAGCACTTAGGGGTGTGCCATCCCAGGCATTCCCATTTCCTCACAGATGCTTCCACAACAGACAGGATGGTTACAGGGTTGTTCTAAGTTCACTGGCAAAGGAAAATGGAGGTTTCAGGTATCCTGACAGAACAGAACAAAAAAAGATCCAGAGGCCCAGGGACCTGGGTTCCAAACCACTCCCCACACACCATGCAGTCACTGAGGCAGCGTGAACCTTGGGCACCTGAGGCCATGTGTCCTGGGAGCCTGGCTCATGGTACGTGCTTACCAAGCAGCTCTGCCCCTATTCCTCTCGTGCCAGACAGAAAGCCCCTTCCCCCATCCCCATCCCGTGTGGAAGTGAAACAGAGGAATTCGAAGATAACCAATTCAGGGGCAGGCTGAGGAGACCCTCTGGTCTCCACAAAAGCCCATGGACGGAGCTCAGGCTAGACCCTCAGTCGAGGTGGCCTAGTTCAGCACCAGCCTGGAAGTGGCCAGGGGAATGGCAGAGCCTCCAGGGATGGAGCCGGGGCAGCAGGGAGTGGAACACAAAGGGTCTTGTCCCTGACTTACCTACCAATCAATCTCTTGAGCATCCCAGCCACAGCGCTGCCCATACTGAACCGGCCACTGTTGAGGATGTCCATGGCCACCTGCAGGGAGAAAGGGAGAGCCCAGGGGCCCTGAAGGAGGCAGGGGGAGGAGGCCATAACCACACGTCTACCTTTACCAGACCAGGCAAACGGATCAGCTTGCCTTCCCTCGGGCTGGGAGAAAGCACTGTCCTAACATCTCGGAACAAAGTAGTTCACTCACAGTTGCAGCTCTACCAATGTCCCCGCACACAAGAAAGACCACTGAACGTTATTCCAAAGGAACATGCCAGAGCTGGGCATGGTGGCTCCCACCTGTAGTACCAGCATTTTGGGAGGCCAAGGCAGGAGGATCACTTGAACCCAGGAGTTCCAGACTAACTTGGGCCCAACAGAAATTCTACATTTAGGTATAAAGCAAAATAACTGAAAACATATTTCCACACAAAAACTTGACATGAATGTTCATTATTGATAGCAGCCAAAAGTGCTAACAACCCAATGCCCATCAGCTGGTGAATGGATGAACAAAATGTGCTATCTCCACTCAACAAAAGATAATTTAGCCATAAAAGGAATGAATTACTTATTCATGCTACAAGAGAGATGAACCTTGAAAACATCACGCTATGTGAGAGAAGCCTGTCACCAAAGACTGGATCTTGCATATGACTGTATTTCTATGAAATGTTCCGAACATGCAAATCCATAAGGACATAAAGTAAAAGAGTAGCAGCCAAGGGATGGGTAAGGGTCTTACTGGACAGTACAACGTTTCTTTATAGGATAAGGGAATGTTCTGCAATTAGGCACAGGAAGTATTTGAACAACATAGTGAATATACTAAAAACCACTGAAATACACGTTTTAAAATGGTGAGTCCTTTGTTATATGAATCATCTCTTGATAAAAAATTTCATTTTAGTCTAAAAAGAAGAGTAGGGCAGGGAGGGAGATACACAGCTTGAGCTTCACCAGAGCCCACGGGTTTCTTTCTCACACCCGCTGTGGAAGGGGATCCTAGACTCTGCTCGAGGTGAAGAAAGATTCCCAACTTTACCACATACTCCTCCTAGGAGCCAGCCAATTTTCCAGTCTCCATTTCTGACTTCCCAACAGATAACCATGCAAAGTCACCTGTCAAGCACAGGCTGCTCTGCTACAAGCAAGGATGGGGCAAAAGCTGGGGGCCGACAAGTCGCGCTTGAGACACTACACGGTACTGGCTGGCAACTCACCTTAAACCCACCTCCGACCTCTCCAAGGACGTTTTCCACAGGTACCTTGGTGTCTTCAAAATGGACTTCGCAAGCTGAAACACATGAAATTTAAGATCTCATCTGACAATGCAAACCACTCTGCATTTGACCTGCAAAAGCAGGCAATTCATCCATCCGCCCGTCCGTCCAACATTTGGTAGGACAGTATAGAAAGACAAAGTTCCTGTCTTTGTGGAGTTCATACTTTGGTTAGGGAGATAAACTATAAACAAAACAATGTAATATTGTCATCAGTGCAATGGATGAAATAAACAGGGCAACACGGTAAGGAGAAATGGAGGTTGGCAAGGGGATGGATAATATTTTTACTAAGGGCTATGTCAGACTTTTGTAAGGTGGCATTTAGCAGAAGTTTAAAAAATGAAAAGAGCCAGGCATATAAAGAGCCAGAACAAGCAAAGCGAGGGAGAGAACAGCATTTCCTAGGGTCTCAGGGTAGACTGAGACCACTGGTGTCAATTCTTAACTCTAACACAACCACACCCCTGCAATCTAACTGTAGCACTCTCCCACTGTGGGGAGGGGTAGACCTCCCTCCCGTTCCCTGTCGGCTAGGTATGACCATGTGACTTGCTGTGGCCACTGGAATAGAGCTGAGTCAACACGAACAGAGGGCTTAAATGTGCTTTTAGGGTCGGGTGTGGTGGCTCATGCCTCTAAAGCCAGCATTTTGGGAGGCAGAGGTGGGAGGATCACTTGAACCCAGGTGTTCAAGACCAGCCTGACAACATAGCAAAACCTCTATTTAAAAAAAAAAAAAAAAAAAAAGGTGGCCAGGCACAGTGACTCACACCTGTAATCCTAGCACTCTGGGAGGCTGAGGTGGGTAGATTGCACCTGAGCTCAGAAATTTGATACAAGCCTGGGCAACATGGTGAAACCCTGTCTCTACAAAAAACACAAAAATTGGTCAGGTGTGGTGGTACACACCTATAGTCCCAACTACTTGGGAAGGTGAGGCAGGAGAATTGCTGGAACCCAGGAGGCAGAGGTTGCAGTGAGATGAGATCACATCACTGCACTCCAGCCTGGGTGACAGAGGGAGAATCTGTCTCCTCCGACAAAAAAGTACTTATATGGTTTGGCTTGGCCCCTTGGGTCTGCTTAAGAATAAGCCTCCAGATGGACCTAAATCCAACCCACAGCCTGAAGCAGGCTGCCAGGCACCTGCAGACTGAGACAACTCAAGGCTGGGGGCTGTAAGCTGAGCTCTAAGGTGGTCTGTCCACCAGGGCTGCCACAGTAGGAGATGACCACCAGGCCTTCAAGTGAGCAGCACTTGGCTGTGGGAACAAAGACAAAGCCCATGTGGCACTCTTAATTTGATCTTTAAAATGCTTAACAAAAACTGAAAGTATTTAAATCTCATTTTGTCTTGCTATTTGGACAGAGTCAAAGACCAGTCTCTCCCTCCCCCTCTCTCTCTCTCTCTCTCTCTCTCTCTCACACACACACACACACACACACACACACACACACCCCTGAATGCTATTTGGACACAGTAAAGAGCAAGTCTCCCCCTAACACACACACACAACCACACACACACTCTACTTACTGTTGGAACCCCGAATGCCTAACTTATCTTCAGGTTTCCCATTAGTGACTCCACCAAAGTCTCTTTCTACTATGAATGCTGTGATTTTGTCTTTCACTGATCCATCAGAATCAACGACCTCAGTCTTTGCAAACACAGTAAAAATACTGGCCAGTCCTCCATTGGTAATCCAGACCTGAGGACAGAAAGAAGGACTTTGGAGAAAACCAAACCCCTATGTGAACCATCTCAGCTCTGTCTTTGCCCATCAAGCTCCAACTGCCAGTCAGACCTCAGACCAGACATACAGGGTCCCTGGCATTGCAGAAGCCAACCAATCATGAGGAATAGAGCACAGGGCTCAGCCCAGTCTCCCAGAGCAAGGATTTTTCCCAAGGGACACGCATGGCCAGGGTGGGGCAGGGGGAAAAGAAGATCTGAAGTTGTCAAACAGCTCAGGCTCCACTGCCAGACAACTGCATTTCTTCAAGAAAGAAAAGGTTTAATCATTTCTCAAGGTATACATGTATCAAAACATCATGTTGTACCTGTAAAATAAATACAACATTTACTTGTTAATTCTAAAACGATGAAAAAAAGAAGATGGGAGGGTGGTGAGGAGGAGAAAAGGAAACAGGAAGACAGAGAGAAACAGACTCCTTAACAAATTGCCACAAATGAGGCAATCAGATAGAGGTAAGAAATTATCAGCTGGGCACAGTGGCTCATGCCTGTAATCCCAGCACTTTGGGAAGCCAAGGTGGGCAGACTGCTTGAGCCAGGAGTTTGAAACCAACCTGGGCAACATGGTGAAAACCCATCTCTACCAAAAAAATACAAAAAAATTAGCTGTGTCCCTATACTTCCAGCTACTTGGGAGGTTGAGGTAGGAGAATCACCTGAGCCAAGATCATGCCACTGCACTCCAGCTGGGTTGACAGAGTAAGACCCTGTCTCAAAAAAAAAAAAAAGGAAAATTATCAATTTTTAAAATGTGATAATGGTATTACGGCTTTTTCTTTAAAAAAAAAAGTCTTGTCTTTTAGACAGACATGCTGAGACTGTTACCATACGACCTAGAGGGGGTGATGCTATTGGAAGACGCACAGTGGCCTGAGTAATGAGTAATGAGATTGCCAGTAAACGCAGTTGACCCTGAGCCTGCCCAAAGGTGCTTCAAGCCCAGTGAGCAGATGAGCAGATGACTGCTGGGGTTGGGGCCAGGCATACAGAACATGTCTCAAATTTTGTGTAACAAAAAATTTAAAGTTTTTTTGGGATTTACAGGCCAGGCACAGTGGCTCATGCCTGTAAACCCAGCACTTTAGGAGGCCGAGGTGGATGGATCACTTGAGGTCAGGAGTTTAAGACCAGCCTGGCCAACATGGTGAAACTCCATCTCCTCTAAAAATATAACTATTAGTTGGGTGTGGTGGTGCTCACCTGTAACCCAGCTACTCGAAAAGCTGAGGTGGGAGAATCACTTGGACCTGGGAGGCAGAGGTTTCAGTGAGCCAAGATCACACCACTGCACTCCAGCCTGGGTGACAGAGTGAGACTCTGTCTTAAAAAAATTAAAAACAAACACATAAAAGCAGCTCAAGAAGGCAGTCAGTGCTATGGCAGTAGGTACAATCCCTGGTGTGTGGAGAGTGCTTACTCAGTGGCAGTGAAGGTTGTGACCGAGACCCTGACGTGGCCGTGAAGACTGAGCCCTACCTTGGAGCCATTGAGGATGTAGTGCTTCTTGTCTTCACTTAGCCTGGCTCTGCTCTGGATTGAGGCTGCATCACTCCCACTGCAGATACAGAAAAATGTGGTCAAGGAAGAATACTGGGAATACATATGAATGCTTTCGAGGGCCTGAAAATGGAGATTTTACTACTTTTCAGATAGAGGTCAGCAAACTTTTAGATCAGATAACACACTCAGCTTTCCAAGCTACAGGATGTCTGCCTCACCTCCTCAACTCTACTACTATTAATAGAACATGAACGCAGATGAAGACAAGTTGTAAAACGATGGGCGTGTTCCAATAAAACAGGGCCTGGTGTGATGTCTCATGCCTGTAATCCCAGCACTTTGGGAGGCTGAGGTGGGGAGATCACTTGAGGTCAGGAGTTCGAGAACAGCCTGGCCAACGTGGTGAGACCTTGTCTCTACTAAAAATACAAAAATTAGCCAGGTGTGGTGGCATATGCCTGTAAACCCAGCTACTTGGGAGGCTGAGGCAGGAGAATCACTTGAACCTGGGACATGGAGGTTACAGTGAGATGAGACTACATCACTGCACTCCAGCCTAGGCAAAACAGTGAGCCTCTGTCTCAAAACAAAAACAGAAACAAAAACAAAATCCCCAAACTTATACCAAAAATACAAAAAAAAAATTAGCAGGGCATGGTGGCAGGTGCCTGTAATCCCAGGTACTAAGGAGGCTGAGGCAGGAGAATTGCTCGAACCTGGAGGTGGAGGTTGCAATGAGCCAAGATCTCACCATTGCACTCCATTCCAGCCTGGGCAACAAAGTGAGACTCTGTCTCAAAAAAAAAAAACAAAAAAACTTGGGCTTAGGTATAAATATGCAAATTAGTACTTACAGTAGGGTCATTTGAGGTCCTGTGAGGATGAGTTCTGGGCACCCCAAGAAGAATGACTGTTCCCAGGTCCCCATGCAAAGGGAAGCTGGATGGAGTACAGTCCAGGTGACGGACTTATCATCAGAGTCCTGAGTCCTGCCATAGCCCTGCTCCATCCCAGCAGACCACATGGCCTTACTGAACCCCAGCTCCTAATGTGTAAGTGGGAACAGTACCACCCACGCTACAAATTCTGAAACGCGCTTTGAAGTCTGAATGTATTATTTTATGTCAAGGTGTACTGTAAATCACAAAAATTCATTTAATAAGTGCTGTCAATTGTGGTATCTCACTTGCAAGTCTCACTGGGACAGAGAAAGTCAACATACGAGGAATGGCAAGAACAGTTGCTGAGTTGATTCTTTGGAAGATTTTGGAAAGGAAAAGTCAGCTGCTCAACAGCCCCTTGCCCCAGTGAATCTTGGAAAATACCGCGGCTGCTGCGGGATAATGTTCTGTGCAGGGACAGACCTGGCTGGCTCGGTGAGGCAGAAGGCTGCAATGTGCTCCCCAGACGCCAGTTTAGGCAAGTATTTGGCCTTCTGCTCCTCAGTGCCAGCCAAGATGATCCCCTAAACAAAACAGACACAGACTATTGTCAGCTGTGGGGAGAAAAGAGAGCATGAGGTGTGCTTGTGAAACATTTCCTTTCTGAGGTAAATATTTACTTCAGTCAAAAGAGGACAAGAGCTCAGAGCAAGCAGCCACAGGCAGAGCCCAGGGAGCCAGGCTGCTGAGGAGACTGTCAGGGGCGCACGTGCCAGCACAAGCCTACGGGACCCACGGTGCTTTGCAGTCTGGGTCTAAAACTTTCCTATCGGTTCCTCCATTTCCCAGCCTGGTGGCTTGGGCAAGGAATATCCCTTCCCAAAGCAACCCTCCATCTTGTCATCCACAAACTGGGCCACGCCCACCCACTGGCAGGGTGGTCTGTATGATGAAACATGAAGACACAGGAGTGCAGGAGCCAAGCTTATCCTAAAGAAGGTGCTCAATGTCAGGGCTGTCCCACCTGCTGCCCTGCTAGTACCACACAGACAGGCCCCTTCTTCACTAAACATCTGCATGAATGCGTACTCTCTGGGGTGGAGGAGCTGAGCATGGTATGCATTCAGCTCTCTTGGATGTCAACATTAAGCAGAAATAACCTCAGTAATGAGATTGTCAGTAAAGACCCTGGGCCTGCCTAAGGTGCTCCAAGCCCAGTGTGGGGAACGCAGCATGCGAAAACAATGGGGGACACGCTCAGGCTGAGGGACAAAGGCTCCGGAGGGGAGGCTACTTCCAGCCAAAGGCGAAGGCATCGGCACCCCACCTGGGCCTCGAAGGGTGGATCAGAGGCATTGAGGACAGGAGGCAGATTCAAAAGGAAGGGACAGTGTGACCCAAAGGTATAGTGTTCGCGCCAAGGGCTCGAGACAGCTAGGAGACAGCTAGTTGACTCGCCCCAGTTTGGCTGCTGGACCTGTCTGCATTTCCCCACCTCGAGGGCTGTCAAGTGAGACAAAGGGCCGCGAGCTGAGTCACTAAAAGCAACAACAGAATGCAAAGCAAAGGTCTGCAGTTTATGAGGACATTGTGCTGTCCACTTCCATGTCCCCTTCAGTCTCTGTGTAAGCAATAAACTTGCTGCAATTGAGATGCCCAAGAGGGACAAGAGACCCCTGCCCATATTTTCCCTGGAGCCAAGCCTTTGTTTTAGCTCCTGGTGAAAAACAGGTTTAACCAGCCACCTTAAGGGCGCCATTGTATCTTTGAAATGTAAAATCTTTGAAATGTAAAATCTTTGAAATGTAAACTCCTATCACAAGCCCCCTTAAACTGCTTTCTGAGCGGTTATCACAAGCCCCTGATAACTATTTTTTATGGAGTTTCTATTTCCTTTCTGTTTACCCCTTTTTTTTTTCTTTCTACTGAGATTAAGTAAATGTAACAAGAAAAAGGTATAAAAGCTGTAACCCACAAGAATAAAATCGCTGTGGCTGTCACTGTGGCTCGCTGTGGCTGCTGCTGCACTGCCCAGCTCTCCAGACTCTACTTTTCTATATTCTTTCTCTTCCGCGCACTCTCTCTCTCAGGTTGAACGAGACATCCAAGACATCTATGCTGGCGGTCTCGGGGACTCCCGCAGGTCGGTAGTCCCCCGGCAGACGTGCCGGACCCCGACACAAGGGCCACTGTGCATGTGTGTGGGGGCTGAGCACCACGAGGTGTGGCCGGAGTGAGCAAACTGGAGGGCAGGGCCGCCTATCAGATAGTTAGGTCTGATTCACTTCTCGTAAAAGGCAGCAAGCCTCTGGCTTCTACCCCACCATGTGACTCCAGAAGACTTACAGAGAGCAACACACAGAAGCCCCAGGCACCTGACCTTGAGGCCAATAGCCTGATGCGCTGCCAGAGTCACAGAAATGGACCCGTCCATGCTGGTGATCTCCCCTAGTCGTGAGTACATGGTGTTGGAGAGGCCAAGGCCACCTAGGAGAGACAAACCAGTGTCAATCACAGCCCAGCCCCAGATTCCTCCCATTAAGGTTTCTTTTTTAATTTTCCTGATTATAAAGTAATGCCAGATCACTATATTAAAAAAAAAATGTGGCCGGGCGCAGTGGCTCACGCCTATAATCCCAGCACTTTGGGAGGCCAAGGTGGGTGGATCACGAGGTCAAGAGATTGAGACCATCCTGGTCAACAAGGGGAAACCCCGTCTCTACTAAAAATACAAAAATTAGCTGGGCATGGTGGCATGTGCCTGTAGTCCCAGGTACTTGGGAGGCTGAGGCAGGAGAATTGCTTGAACCCAGGAGGCAGAGGTTGTGGTGAGCTGAGATTGGGCCATTGCACTCCAGCCTGGGTAACAAGAGTGAAACTGTCTCAAAAAAAAAAAAAAAAGAAATATTAGCCGGGCACAGTGGCTCACAGCTGTAATCTCGACACTTTGGGAAGCTGAGGCAGGTGAATCACCTGAGGTCAGGAGTTCAAGACTAGACTGGTCAACATCGTGAAACCCTGTCTCTACTAAAAATACAAAAAATCAGATGGGCATGGTGGCAGGTGCCTGTAATCCCAGCTACTTCGGAGACTGAGGCAGGAGAATCACTTGAACCTGGGAGGCAGAGGTTGCAGTAAGTGGAGATCGATTGCGCCACTGCACTCCAGCCTGGGCAACAAGACTAAAACTCCGTCTCAAAAAAAAAAAATTACAATACAGTCCAGGCACTGTGGCTCACACCTGTAATCCCAGTACTTTGGGAGGCCAAGGTGGGCGGATCACCTGAGATCAGGAATTTGAGACCAGCCTGGCCAATGTGGTCTTCACTAAAAATAAAAAAATTAGCTTGGCGTGGTAGCACACACCTGTAGCCCCAGCTACTCGGGAGGCTGAGGCAGGAGAATCACTTAAACCTGGGAGGCAGTGGTTGCAGTGAGCCAAGATCACACCACTGCACCGCAGCCTGGTGACAGAGGGAAACTCCATTTAAAAAAAGAAAAAAAAAATCAGCCAGGTGTGGTGGAGCATGCCTGTGGTCCCAACTACTTGGGAGGCCGAGGCATGAGAATCACTTGAACCTGGGAGGCAGAGAGGCTGCAGTTAGCCAAGATCACACCACTGCACTTCAGCCTGGACAACATAGAGAGACTCCATCTCAAAAATAAAAGAAAATCACAATATAGAAAGATACAAAGTAAACAAAAACGAAGGCTGGGCACAGTGGCTCACACCTGTTACCCCAGCACTTTGGCTGGGGGTGAGAGGCTGAGGTGAGAGGATTGTTTGGGTCCAGGAGTTCAACACTAGCCTGGTCAATATAGCAAGACCCCATCTCTACACAATAAAAAAAAATTCGCATTTTTTTTTATTTTGTAGTGGTGGCTCACATGTGTAGTCCCAGCTACCTGGGAGGCTGAGGTGGGAGGATTGGTTGAGCCCAATGAGTTCAGGGCTACAGTGAGCTATGATCACACCACTGCACTCCAGATCTCACAACAGAGTGAGACTCTTGTCTCAAAAAAAAAAAAATTGCTCACAATCTTGTGCCTCAGAAAGCAATTTCTATGTATATCTTTCCATCCATACCTTTTCTAGGCATACAAGCATATGTAGATACTTAAAATATGAAGATATCTATACACACATTGAATCAATTAACATGTAGCGAGAATCTTCTATCACATTTGAAGGTCTTTATAAATGCAACAGCTATAGTGTGTCCCACTGCCCAATATCCAGGACTCCTGTGGCACTATAACATTTTGGAATGGACTGTTCTCCGTTGTGGGGGTCTGTCCTGTGGATTGTCAGATGCTTAGCAGCATCCTTGACCTTTATAATTTTACATCAAAAGGGCCTGAGGGTAAACACAAATGGCACATGGGTGATCTAACCCTTTGAACCATTTTCTACCTTGCCTCCCCCACACTGCTTGCCTGTCCCTTTAAACCTCTGCAGAATTCAGATGACCAACTAAGAACAAGCAAAAGGGAGGCAAGCTGTAGTGACTGGACAACTCAAGTAAGGCAGAACCTCCACCTGGGGGCTAAAAACATCACTACGATGCTCAAAGAACTATGGGGCCAGTCCATAGGACAAAGGACCCTGTGTAAAGGTTCCCAATCTCCCCCCTCGATGTGCCTTGCACCCTACAGCCAGCCAGACCACATGCCTCATTCCTCTGTGCTAGGATGAGAAGCACAGGACCTAAGAGCACTTCCTCCCTACAGGTCCTTCAGTCAGTCTACCTCCACCCACCATGTAGCCCACGACAGATGGTGTTAACTATTCCAGCAACTAGACCTTGGATATGCAGCATTTAAAGGTCAACTTTCCTAAACAGAACCCTTTTATGGACAAACACAGAGTACTTTCTTAAGAGCTAAACTGGCTGGGTGCTTGTTTGTTTGACTTACCATATTCTTCTGGGACTTGCAATCCAAAAAGCCCCAGGCTCTTCAATTTCTCCAAAGTTTCATCTGGGATTTTCCCTTCCTGGTCAATTTTTCGAGAGTCCACTGCCAAGAGGAAAATTTTGATTAAACAAACATAAGCTATGTTTCTACAAATATAAGTAAACAGAACAATGTTTATATATTAGTAATATATAATCGCAGAGTAGAAACTTTTTCAAAACTAGAAATTCTGTAGTCATGGTCATTTGGCCTGTGTTCAATTTTACGTAATGAGCCCAGGAAAATTTTTATTTTAATATATTTATTTAGAGACAGGGTCTCATTCTGATATCCAGGCTGAAGTATAATGACACAGTCACAGCTCATGTAGCCTCAATCTCCCAGGTTCAAGCGATCCTTCTCCCTCAGCCTCATGAGAAGCTGGAACTACAGGCACATACCACCATACCCAGCTAATTTTTTTTTTTTTTTTGAGACAGAGTTTTGCTTCTGTTGTCCAGGCTAGAGTGCAATGGCACAATCTTGGATCACTACAACCTCCACCTTCTGGGTTCAAGTGATTCTCTTGCCTCAGCCTCCCCCGTAGCTAGGATTACAGGCACGTACCACCACACTTGGCTAATTTTGTATTTTCAGTGGAAACGGGGTTTCTCCATTATTGGTCAGGCTGGTCTCAAACTCCTGACTTCAGGTAATCCACCTGCCTCGACATCCCAAAGTGCCTGGGATTACAGGCATGAGCCACTGTGCCTGGCCCAGTGTGTTTTAATTAAATGGCAATAGGGATGACCCCTAAAGCAAAGTATTATGAGTGGAAACCATTTCTCCCTCAAGAAAACTTCCCCAGCTGGGCGCGGTGGCTCACACCTGTAATCCCAGCACTTTGGGAGGCTGAGGTTTGTGGATCACCTGAGGATTGGGAATTCAAGACCAGCCTGACCAACATGGAGAAACCCTGTTTCTTTAAAAAAAAAGAAAGAAAGAAAAGAAAACTTCCCTAGGTATGCCACTTCTAATATAAATCTATAAACATCAACTGAATTGCGCTTACAATGGAAATTGGCAATGGGTAAAGAAAACCATACATACCCTCTTCAGTGAAGAATTTTTCCACAGGTCCCAAGAACTGACTGATTTCATTAAGTTCATCTTGGGTAACTTCTGGAAATGGGAAAACTTCTTTCTAAAAACAGTAAATATTTTCTAAAAATTATATTTTAGCACGCTCCCATCATGGAAATATCAGTTAAAAGGGAAGGAAAAATATGTGCTCTACTCTACTCTGGCCAGCAGGACAGGATGCACTGAAGGAACTGGAAAGCACATCTCACAAGGTTCCTGAAATACAGGAAATGTGTGCAGGCTCCACCACCCACATCCATCTTCCCTGTTCAAACAGGTTCTTCCTGATTTTGCTCAGCTTTCCTTCTCAGTACAAGGGATGATAACGGTCCCATGAAACAAGGAGCCCAAGACTAACATTTAGAAGCCTGGGGGTCTGGTCCTTGATTTCAGGCTTACTAGTTATATGACCTTCACCAAATCCCTTCAGCTCTCCAAACTACCCCTTTCTCGCCCATAATAGGCAGGTAATATTTACTCAAGGCCCTTGTGAGAACCGTGGAAGACAGTGGACGTGAAAGCTCCTTACTGAAATGGGACAATTCTACATCAATTATTGTGTGAGCACAAAGACGCTATGCTGACAAAAGTACACTGTGTTTTCCAGGTCTGACTGATCCCTATAGCCTCTGTCTCTCCTGTTCACGGACATCTGCTCCCTGTGCTGAGCCCCTCTGGACTTTTGGGCTTTGTTACCCCTTCAATTGCCAGCATGACATGAGCTTTAGATGTGGACTTCAGGCTGCTGAGCAGTAATGTCTTGAGTCACAGCTACAGGCCCAAGAGTCACTTGTCTTCATGGCACCTCTCACCAAGTGCCTCTAGAGAAGTCTTCAGGAGACCTCAACCTTCTCCCCACCCCTTGTACAGCTAATTAGGCACTGGATTTATCTAGTCTGTCAGTATGTTCTTGCTGCTTTCTCCTCTCTGGGCCCAGGACCACAGGCTTATAGGTGAGTCCCTAACTAAAAGTGACAGCTGACTTAAATTCCTGCCTCCATCCATTCCGAAACCACCCTGAAGGTGGAACAGAAGAAAACAAACTTGGCTGGGCACTGCGGCTACTGCCTATAATCCTAGTCCTTTGGGAAGCTGAGGCAGGCATACAACTTAAAGCACAGGAATAGCCAGGCGCAGTGGCTCAAGCCTGTAATCCCAGCACTTTGGGAGGCCGAGGCGGGTGGATCACGAGGTCAAGAGATCGAGACCATCCTGGTCAACATGGTGAAACCCTGTCTCTACTAAAAATACAAAAAATTAGCTGGGCATGGTGGCGCGTGCCTGTAATCCCAGCTTCTCAGGAGGCTGAGGCAGGAGAATTGCCTGAACCCAGGAGGCGGAGGTTGAGGTGAGCCGAGATTGCGCCACTGCACTCCAGCCTGGGTAACAAGAGCGAAACTCCGCCTCAAAAAAAAAAAAAAAAAAAAAAAGTGCAGGAAATCAAGATCAGCCTGGGCGTGGTTGCACATGCCTGTAGTCCCAGCTACTCAGGAGGCTGAGGTAGGAGGATCCCCTGAGCCCAGGGAAGTTGAGAATGCAGTGATTGCACCACTGCATTCTAGCGTGGGCAACAGAGTAAGACTCCAACTGAGAAAAAAAGAAAAAAACAAGCTGCTGGCCCCATCACTCTGCACTGCAGCCTTTCAGATTAAAGTTCAGTCTCCTTCACTGAACACAAAGGCTGACTGACACCTGGGCCTTGTGCAATGGGCTGTGTTAGAGATCATTCTGGTACCAGTGGGCAGGCCAGATAAGACAGCCTGACAACTGGTTGGCGTTCAGGTACAACCAGAGAAAAATTGCTAGACAGGAGAGACTGCCAGGGCATGGGAGAGATTCTGATGTTACCAAATTAGGTCAACGCCTCATGGGAGGGAAGTTCAATTGCAATAAAAGTTCGTAAATTATCTAAAGCAGTGGAACCTGATATTCAAATAAATCTAGTGCAGAAACTAGATATGTAAACAGACAAAAGCCAAGCAACTCTTCGACTGCTGATAAACAGTCTGGAAAACAGTCACCCAAATCCCACCCACTCAACTTCCCACCCATCCCTCTAGCAGTCCCAGGAGCATACCATGAATAGCAAGGGTCGGGCTGAGGGCAGGGTCATACATAACCACTGGCCTACATAATCTGAAAGGTCTTTTCCAGTTCTGAGATTCGAAGCATGTCCCATGTTTCTGCTCTAATCCCAGTAAGTCTGAGAGATGGCATTGGCCTTATCCTAATTAGTAGCAGAAGGACCTAAAAGTGGTCAGATTCTGAAGAACCTGAAAGTAGAGAAAACCAGATCTGCTGTGGAATTACATGTGGACTAGGGGACTAAGAATACAAGGTGACTCCAGGTGTTCTGTCTGAACAGGAGGAATGAGAGAGCCACCATTATCTATGATAAAGAAGGCTGGTGGAAGGAACAGGATTGGGCCGAGAACCAGGAACTCAGTTTTGGATCTGTTAATCTCAAATGACTCTTAGATGTCTTAGTAGAGCTTTTGAGTACAAAGGCAGATTTTAAAAACAGAATCTTAGCTGGGTGTGGCAGGGCGTGCCTATAGTCCCAGCTACTAGGTATGCTGAAGTGGGAGGATCTCTTGAGCCTAGGAGTTCAAGGTTGCAGTGAGCTGTTATGGCACCACTGCGCTCCAGCCCAGGTGACAGAGGAAGGCTCCAACTCTGAAAAAAACAAAAGGAGGTGTCCACCTTCAGCCTGGTGTAGGCCTTTAAAACATGTAACATAAAAATGGCTTCCAAAAGAGCTCTAGTCATCCTGGCTAAAGGAGTGGAGGAAATGGAGACCGTCATCCCTGTAGATGTCATGAGGCGAGCTGAGATAAAGGTCACTGTTGCAGGTCTGGCTGGAAAAGACCCAGTACAGTGTAGCCGTGATGTCATGATTTGTCCTGATGCCAGTCTTGAAGATGCAAAAAAAGAGGGACCATATAACGTGGTGGTTCTACCAGGAGGTAATCTGGGTACACAAAATTTATCTGAGTCTGCTGCTGTGAAGGAGATACTGAAGGAACAGGAAAACTGGAAGGGCCTGACAGCCGCCATCTGTGTAGGTCCTACTGCTCTGTTGGCTCATGAAATAGGTTTTGGAAGTAAAGTTACAACACATCCGTTTACTAAAGACAAAACGATGAAAGGAGGTCATTACACCCACTCTGAGAATCGGGTGGATAAGGACAGCCTGATTCTTACAAGCTGTGGGCCTGGGACCGGCTTCGAGTTTGCGCTTACAATTGTTGAAGCTCTGAACTGCAAGGAGGTGGCGGCTCAAGTGAAGGCTCCACTTGCTCTTAAAGACTAAAGCAGCGAAATGTGACAATCACCTAGAGAAACAGGCCTTAGGAATCTATTTTCACTGTGTTCGCTCTGAACACAATGGTAGATTAATGTGTTCCGAAGCCGCCCTCATTACTGCTTTTGCGGAAGTATAGCTGTGAAGTCACAACTACAGAGATCTTTCAACCTACAGATTGTGTCTGTACATTTCTAAGCCTTGTTTGCAGAATAAACAGGGCAGTTAGCAAACTACTGGAAAAAAAAAAGGAATCTGGAGTTCAATCTCAACTGGAGAAAAGTGAGGCATCAGGATACTGATTATATTTAAAGCCAGGATACTAAATAAGATCACCCAGGAGATGGCTGTAGATGAAAAGAGATCGAGCCTTAGTAAATTCCAACTCGGCTGGTTGGAAACACTGGTAATTGTTTAGCAGTCATGGAGCTAAAAAAGAACCAGCAATGGACACTGAGAAGTATCAGCCAGTGAAATATTTAGAACATTCAGAGAATGGTGAGAATTGTGATTCAGAAACCAGAGAAGAAAGGGTGTCAACAGGGTGTAAGGATGAACTGTGACAGATGCCAAGGAGGGGTAAAGTAGGGTGCGGTCTGAGAACAGATCACACAATCTGACAACATGGAAGTCACTACTGACTTTCATGGGCACTGGGGACAAAGGCCTGAATGGTAAGGGGTCAGTTTCCTATAGAAGGAACACTTAGCGATGCAAAGAAAGGAAAGAATTACCCCTGAGTTGATGAGAAGGCCTGAGGTCTAATGAGAGGTTGGTTTTGCCAGGAGCAGGCAGTTCATAGTAACAGAATGTAGACAATATAGGCACATATGCAGGGGGAGGGAGTAACTGTGCCTGTGGAAATTCTCAGCTGACTGCATAGATGTTCCCAGTGGAATAGGAAGCAAAGCTAACAGTCAAGAGTAGGGCCGTGCCAGAGGTTTAAAGATGAAAACAGATCTAAAAGATTTGTGTTCTTCACCATGCTGCTGGGAGGCAGGAGGTCCCAGAAAACAGCACCACATCCTGGGTAAAAGGGTTTCCCATATGTTAAAGACATAGCTCTGAAGTTTCTTTTTTTTTTTGAGGAGTTTCGCTTTTGTTGCCAAGGCTGGATTGCAATGGTGCAATCTCGGCTCGCTGCCACCTCTGCCTCCCGGGTTCAAGCGATTATCCCGCCTCAGCCTCCCAAGTAGCTATATCTACAGGCATGTGCCACCACACCCAGCTAATTTTGTATTTTTAGTAGAGAAGGGGTTTCTCCATGTTGGTCAGGCTGGTCTCAAACTCCTGACCTCAGGTGATCTGCCCGCCTCAGCCTCCCAAGGTGCTGGGATTACAGGTGTGAGCCACCGCACCTGGCTAGCTCTGCACTTTCTAGAGGGGCAAACTGCTTTTAGTCTGAGTCTTAGCTTCTGTGTCTACAAAGCTGCTTGCTATATAGGGGTCAGCCTGACAACCTCAGAGGAATGTTCTAAAGAGAAGTCAGGGAATAACTCCTCTGATACAAGATCAGCCAACATTCAGCCAGGCTCAAAGTAGGGCACCTCTAAGAAATAGCAAGTATACGGTTGCTTTCCTTAGAAGACAAAATAAAATACAAAGGAAAGAGCAAGTAATGCGTTTACTCCTATTTTGTAGATGAATGCACTGAAGCACAAGGAATTGAAGCCATCAGCTCCAAGGTAACAAGACTAATAAGGGTTTGAAACCAGCTTTCTCTTCTACTGCACAGTACTCTACAGTAAGAAGCCTCTCCATGCACCATTAATCTCACTGGGGCTCTACAATACATCCATGAAGGAGACACAACACTATCTCCATTTTAAGGCTGAAAGAACTGAGTCTTGGCCAGACGCAGGTGGCTCATGCCTTTAATCCCAGCACTTTGAGAGGCCGAGGCGGGAGGATCACCTGAGGTCAGGAGTTTGCAGCTTGGCCAACATGGTGAAACTCCGTATCTACTAAAAATACAAAAAAAAAAAAAAAAAAAAAAAAAAAAGCCGGGCATGGTGGTGGGCGCCTGTAATGGTAGCTACGCGGGAGGCTGAGGCAGGAGAATCGCTTGAACCCAGGAGGCAGAGGTTGCAGCAAGCACTCTGGTTTGGGCGACAAGAGCAAGACTCTGTCTCAAAAAAAAAAAAAAAAAGAACTGAGTTTCTTTTCTTTTTTAAACGAGCTGAGACTAAACCCACGTCTTCCAATTGTAAGAGGACAATGAGTGTTTTATAACCAAACTGTTACTATTGGCTGGGTTGTGCGAATCGTGGAAAGCAGCTGGGAGCCAGATTCTGAGGAACCCCAATGGCAGGGTGAGGTACTAGGGCTCAACTGGGGAAGGAAGCCCTAGGGCGCTGGAAGGTGACGGAGGAGGAACATGATCTAAACTGTTTAGGAATCAGAGAGGAAGCCCTGCACATTTCGAGACCAGATCAGCTGAGATGAAGGCTGCTTTATTAATCACCTAGCCTAGAGTTTTACAAATTCTCCTGACATAATTTAGCTGAAACACTTCACCACCACATTCCCCAGGGTCCCCCGTCTTGGAAATATCCCACCCTTTCTCTAGGAAGGTTCTCCTGTAATTCGGAGTCTTAACTCAGGAATCCGGAGTGTTAACACGCCTCGCCCGCAGGGTGTATCTCTCTGATACATTTGGGGAATCTGCAAAAGCTCAACACCAGCCTTGAGTTCTGGGCGAGCCCTTGCTGTCTGGCTCCCGCTTTTTCCCCTCAGCTGCAAGTTACCTTCTCGATTTTGCCCAGGAAAAGGTGCTTGGCGAAAGCTCGTATAGGCGGGCTGGTGCGCAGTGGCCGCCGGCTCGCGGTAAAGACCACCAGAGACCGGCAGGCACGAGCCGCAGCAGCAGTGCGCACGAAGAGCCCGCAGCCGCTCATGCTGCCGGATGTTCTTCGTCCTCAGCCTCCACCGCTTAGCGCCTCGCGGACACACACGGTCTGCAACGCCTGATGACGTTACCGGCCCGCGACGAGGTGCCGTACTCACTGCGCCGGCGCAATTTCCCGCAGAAGGGGATGGAAAGGCCAGAAGGATCCGACGGCTGAGACCATTCGCGGCCAAGGCCTTAGTCACGTGCACCTGGCCCGCGCCGCCTGATGACGCCACGCGCCAAAGCTTCCCGCTGGCCCCACTGCGCTTGCGCGGCCAAAGGAACTCCCCGAGGGCGGGGCCGCGAGCATCTTGCCGGGCTCCGGCAGCCCTGACAGCGCTGAAGGATCTTTTCTTTTTTTCTTTTTCTTTTTTCTGATCTGTATTTATTTTTTTTTTTTTACATATTTTTAAATTTTTATTTATTTATTTTTTTTGTGACGGAGTTTCGCTCTTGTTACCCAGGCTGGAGTGCAGTGGCACGATCTCGGCTCGCGGCAACCTCCGCCTCCTGGGTTCAGGCAATTCTCCTGCCTCAGCCTCCTGAGTAGCTGGGATTACAGGCACGCGCCACCATGTCCAGCTAATTTTTTGTATTTTTAGTAGAGACGGGGTTTCACCATGTTGACCAGGATGGTCTCGATCTCTTGACCTCGTGATCCACCCGCCTCGGCCTCCCAAAGTGCTGGGATTACAGGCTTGAGCCACCGCGCCCGGCAGAAAGTGAACATTCTTTAGCTATAATGTTAGTGTTGGTGTAGCAGAATGCTTGACTCTGGGTATCGGGAACATTGAGTAGAAAACTACTGCTTGATCCCTTATTATTAAGACTGAGGCTGAGACTGGACTGATTATTTTTAAGCCAAAGACCACCAAACATTGCCAGTAAACCACGAAGAAGTTGGAGAAAGGCTTTCCTGTAGATGCTGCTGCAAAGACCTGCCCCTTACACCTTGTACCACCATCCAACAGAGCCTAGAGGCCTCTGCCTGCAGCTGGGGGAAGAGGAGACGGCAAAAAACGATCCCGTCTTTTAAAAATCAACAGAAGTCACAGATTCCTTCTACTCACATTCCCTTGGAAAGAACTTCATTTGGGGACAGGGGCTAGGAAAGGCAGCGCCTGGACAGAAAAGTGGTTTGACAAGTGTTCTTGTCAGGGTAATTTGGGAAAGCCTAGATGAGTGATTACTGAGCAACCCTCAACTCCACTGTTTTAACACCGAAATGTGCACAGCTTCCTTTCTGATTCTTTAACAGCTCAGGCCGTGCCACTCCCATGTCACTCTCTAGTGGCCCTCGGGCTTCCTTGCCGGCTGAACCCTAGCACTACTCCCTGCCTTTGAGGTTCCACAGAAATCTGGCTGCAGGGTGACTTCCACAGGTCACATAACCCAGCCAGTAGTAACAGCTAGGTTATTAAACACACCATCCTCTTAGAGATGAAAGACTTGGCCTTGGGTCTGTAACTTGAAGACTCAATTCTTTCAGCCTTAAAATGGAGCTAGTGACGTGTCTCACTCAAAGATGTTGCAGAACCCAGTGAGATGTGTAGTGCGTGGAGATGGGAAGGTACTATTCGGCAGAGGAGATGGATAGTGCAGGCTCAAGAAGACCCTGTGACCTTGAGCAAGTCACTTTTCCTCCCTGTTCCTCAATGTACTCATCTACAAAATAGGAGTAAACACAGTAGCGTTTCCCCCTCCCTAAGGGTGCTTTGTTTTCAGCTTGGCTGAATGTTTGCTGATCCTGTATCACAGGAGTTATTTCCTGGCTTCTCTTTAGAGCATTCCTCTGAGGTTGTCAGTCTGACCCCTTTACAGCAAGCAACTTTGCAGATGCATAGCTAAGACTGAGACTAAAAGCAGCTCGCCCAACTAGGAAATGCAGAGCTATGTCTTTAACATATGGGAAACACCTGGGGCAGTGTGGTGCTCTGTCCTGGGACCTCCTGCCTCCCAGCAGCATGGTGAAGAAAGAACACAAATCTTTTGGATGTTTCCGTCTTTAAACCTCTGAGGCCACCTGCCCTGCGCTGCCCTTACTCTCAGCTGTCAGCTTTGCTTCCCATTCCACTGGGAAAATCCATGCAGTCAGGTGAGAACTTCCACAGGCAGTTACTCCCTCTCCCTGCATATGCCCATAGTATCTACATTCTTTTACTTTGAACTGTCTGCTCCTGGCAAAACTAGCCTCTCATTAGAACCCAGGCCTTCTTACCTACTCAAGGGTAATTCTTTCCTTTCTCTGCATCAACTGTTCCCTCTACTGGGTCTTGAGCCCTTACTGTTCAGGCTTTTATCCCTAAGAGTCTTGAAAGTCAGTAGTGACTTCCATGTTGTCAGATTGTGTGATCTGTTCTCAGACCGCACCCTACTTTGTGATATAGCTGGCCTAGAATTAGAACCTGTATAATGCCATTTTTTAAAGAACAGTGCTGTTTCCATTCTCACAATGACTGCTAACCTTGGCTTTTGTAAATTGCTAGATCATTTGCAGGATGCAAAGAGAGGTAAAGCTGCATACCTCCTTTTATCTATCAGAATTGCTGGCCTTTGTTTCCCAGAGTAGGCACCCCAAGATCATTCCATCCTGGCGCCAAGCAACTGAAAATCTATGGATCCCACCCCTACCCAGACGATGTGTAAACGAATGCTAATCTTAGCATCTGTGAACTCCTTAAATGACAATCAGAATAGTCCTCTGGCCCTCGAAATGTCCGGAACCCCCTCACCCTCATCTCCGCCCAGAAGCTGATTTGAATCCACTGGCCCTCGGAATGTCTGAAGCCCCTCACCCCATCCTCTCCCCTCACCCCCGAGGCGATTTTACGGGTATAAAAGGTCTTGTCACCCTCTTTTACGGGGCCACGGGTTGGAGAGACGTGAGTCCTCCGTGGTCGCCGGCAATAAACCCTGCAATTTGGCATACTTTTGTTCTGGTGTTGACTTTCTGTGCTAAGTTCAATGCAACACTTGACCCTCCTTGGCATCTGTCAGAGTTCATCCTTACACCCTGTTGACACACTTTCTTCTCTAGTTTCTGAATCACAATTCTCACCATTCTCTGAATGTTCTAAATACTTTACTGGCTGATACTTCTCTGTGTTCATTGCTGGTTCCTTCTTGGCTCTTCAACTGCTAAACATTGGCCCTTGTTTTCCACTAGCACAGTTGGAGTTGTCTATGGCTCAGGCTGTGGACATTTCTTCTACAACCACCTCCTGGCTGACCTAATTAGTATCCTGACTTAAATACCCTCAGTATCCTGATGACTCACGTTTCTCCTGCAGCACAGATTTTCCCCTCAACTCTAGATTGTTTTTACGTCTGCCTTTGTACTTGAAAGCTCCATAGAGATCTAGTCGGTGTTTAAAAGTGGCATACGCAAATCTGAGTCCCCGATCCCACCCAATCCTGTTTTCCCACCAGTATTCTTTATCATAGTCAATGGCAACTTATTCCACTTGTTCAGACCAAACATATGTGGTCCTTTTGTTCCCTCTCATTCTCTAGTCCACATCCAATTGAGCAGCAAATCCAGTGCTCTCTACCTTCAGGTTATATTGAGAATCTGACCACTTTTAGGCCCCTCCTCTGATACTACCTTGGGTCAAGCCAGCACCATCTCTCAGAATTACTGGGACTGGGGTTAATTAGCTAGGTAAGATGAAACATGTTGGATTACAAATAAAGGCAAAATACAGACTTAAAACCAGGAATCCAGACTAAACACTCAAACATGGAGCCCGTCGTGGCCCCAGGGCCCTTGCACTTGACATTCTCTCTGCCTAGAATACTCTGCCCATTGCATTCATTGTTCTCTAAATGCCTTCAGGCGTTTTCAGAAATGTCCTTTCTGACCATGTCTTCCTTCATGGTACATGTCACCACCTGACTGTGTATTACTTCCTTATTTTTTTCCTCTTTCTTTCCCTCTAGGCTATCAACCCATCAGAATGGAGATCTCTGCCTGCTTCTACCCTTGGTGTGCTTTGGTTTCGGGAACAGGCCCAGCCTGCAGTAGGGCCTCAGTGAATGTGCACTGAAGGAGCAGACACTGGAGAGCATAAACACGTGTCAGGTGGTGAGAAAAATTGCTCCTTTACTATTTATTGAACCCTATTACATACTCAGCCATGATCTAGGCTATAGACAAAAGCAGGAATTAGAAAAAAACAAAAAAACCCAGCTGCTGCTTGTTGCTGGTACCGTGCAGGAGAGACAAACTGAGTGTTACCCAGTGTGGTAGCAGAGGGAAGTGCTGCAGAGAGCCAAGCAGGGCTCAGGGAAACCAGGAGAGCAGGATCAGGAGAGCAGAGATGGGGCTGGAGTGGCCTGAGAGAAGGGCAGTATTAAGACAGGAGTCCTAGGAGGTCTGGGGGCCTAGGTCCTGCAGGCCCTGGGGTTGCTCTGAAGACATTTACACTGGGTGAGGTGGGAGGCCCAGAAGGGGACAGGCCCTAAATGTCATGAAGGGAATAAAGTGGGAATGGCTAGGGACATGTGCACAGGAAGGCTCTCACTGCAGATGGCATAGGCAGAGAAGGCTTCTCTGAGAACGTGACACTCTGCTGAGCCCTGACCTTGGCCATCTTTCTAGCTTCTGTGAACCTGGAGCTTTAAAACCTGCCCTATATGTATACACGGGACTTCATGTTCTGAACAACCTTATGATACGCCAAGTCATGTTGCCTTTGCCCCTTGCCTCCCACATCACCTTCTCCCCTTGAGGAATCTTCCTCCAAAGGGTGCACTTTTTTCTTTTTCTTTTTTGAGAGAGAGAGACAGGGTCTCCTGTCATCCAGACTGGAATGCAATAGTGTGATCAGAGCTTACTGCAGCCTTGAATCCTGGGCTTAAGTGACTTTCCTGCCTCAGCCTCCCAAGTAGCTGGGACTACAGGTGTGTGCTACCATGCGTGGCTAATTTTTTCATTTTCTAGTTTTTGTTGAGGCCGGGTCTCACTATGTTGCCCAAGCTGGTCTTGAGCTCCTGGCCTCCCAAAGTGATGGGATCATAGGTGTGCACCATTCCTATGTTTTCAAATACAAACCAACCATTCCAGTGTCCACACCCCAGATACTTCCCCTGTGGCTGTCACACTGGGACCATTATGCTACTGCCCTCATCACCTCAGCGGCAGGATCCAGACCCCTACGGACTGGAATGATTGGAACTGCACTCTCCTGTCTGATCATCGCCCCTTACTCTTTTTTCCTATAGGCAGCACAGGAAAGGTACTTGCTCTGAGTACCCCTCCCTCTGCCTCCTGACCAATCCTGCTGCTTCCCGTGTGGCCCTGCCTAAATGTGCTGTGCCTTCCTTCTGGGAACTGTGACTATCTTCAGTTTTACTCATCTGATCTGGAGGCCTTATTGTACCTCAGGCTTTTTATTAATACACAAGAATTACAGCAGCCTGGAATGACAAGACATTTTGGACACAAGATAAACAAATTAGAACATATGAACTGTGCACCGTTTTCCAATATTCTGGACAAGTTTATATTTTAATACATGAGTTTTTTCAGGTGATGAGAAGTACTGTGGCTGTTGGGATCTGCAGAAGGCGGAGACTTCACTGTGATGTTGGAGCCCTCTGCCTCAGTTTTCCTGCAGCCCAGGATTTTTATATGAGGCCATGTGTTGTGAATTTTTTGTTCCAAAGATTCCTTGATGTGATCTGCGTGAATTCCATGGACATCATGAGCTCTTTCCTTCTGTGATCCTGGTGATCATTTATTTTTTATTTTTTAACCTTCCCAGCAAGATGCAGTGTGAACCTGGTGATCAAAAAGCAGCTCCCAGTATGGCCTTGGTATCTCCCGCTGGCCCATGTTGATTTACAGATGCCATATAATGTGATGGAGGTGGCCTTTCCCGGGGTTTGCAGGCAGCAATGTGTTGATGAGTTCTTTTCCTTCTGAAGGAAGGAACAACTGTATTTTATATTTGCCACACAGTATTTGTTTCCTCAGCTCCACAAAGGTCTGACATATGGTAAGTTTCTGTGGTGGTGTAAAACATGACTCCAGATTCCACCTCCACCCATCCAACATAGGGCGGTACAATGGGGAGCTGCACAAAAAATGTATGGCTTATAGCCTACTGCAAATGTGGTGCCAAAGACAAAGTCAGCTATTTTATGTTGTAGTTGGCATCTTGTAAATATAAATACATTCTGGGGCACCAGGTTCCCGTGGAAATGTTTATTTTGGTGGCGATACTATAGGGCAGATAGTATTTGCTGAAACTCACCTCAGGCCTGCTTTTGGTGGGGCTGTAGGATGTAGTGAAGTAGCTGCCCCAGCTGGCATGCTACATAACTCAGAGTGCCCACAGTGGTAGTCACAGGGAGGAGCTGGTGGAGGTTGGGTGATTTAGGGCCCTCATTATATCGACTTCGTAGCTATCGACTCCAGAGGCTGAAGGAGCTCTGCTGACCTCTCTAGATGACCTTCACAGCCACCTGGATCCCAATGAGAATGTTATGGGGTAACAGTTCCTTGGCTGCACCTGGGTGCTCAATAACATCACCTGGACTCTGTCGCAACCTCTGACTCTGTATCCTTCTCTCAGTGTGGTGTCATGCTCAGGGGGGCTTTCCCTTCAAGGTGAGAAGATGGCACCCATATCCGCAGCCACCCAACAGAAATAGACCTTCTTTCCCCTGCTACCAACCCTTGCCCTGATTCTCACCACCTGATTGGTCACATGCAGTTTTCCCTCTCCCACCATCTCCTCCCCAGGCCCCATTTCACCTATCCCAGAAAGAAGCAAGGAGCAAACTTCTATCTGAAGACAGGATTTGGGATTCCCCTCAGCTTCATGACTTGCTCCTTGTCCTGGTGCCATCAGTTAGTCAGTAAACAAATGGTCACTGAGCGCTCTCAATATGCCAGGCTGTTACCAGATGTGATCCAGGGATGAGCAGGGCTGATGGATTCCCGTCCTCCACGAGCTGACACTCTAGTAGGAGCGCACAAATTGAAGACCAATTCAGATCAGATTAGTCCAGACGAGGAAAGAGACAGGATGGGATGGAGGGTGTCATGGAGGTATGAAAGGTGGACAGAGAAGGGCCCTGTGAAGAGGCAACATTTACACAGCACAGCTCCTGAGGTGGGAGCCAGCCTGGAGTTCCCAGAGGAGTTGGCAATACCTGGATGGTAAACAGTTTGGGCTTTGTGGGCCATGTGGTCTTTGCCACAACCAGTCAGCTCTGTCATTGTTCAAAAACAGCCCTTGACCACATGGAAATGAATGGGCCTGGATGTGCTCCAATAACAATGGACACTGGAATTACATAGAACTTTCACTTGTGATGAAATAGAGTTCTGTTGATGTTTTCAGCCATCTAAAAGTGTAAAAACTTAGCTCAACAAGGGCCCTGCAAAAGTGGGCAGCAAACCAATATAGCTGATATGATTTGGCTCTGTGTCCCCACCCAAATCTCACCTTGAATTGTAATAATCCTTATGTGTCAAGGGCAGGGCCAGGTGGAGATAACAGAATAATGGGGGCAGTTTCCCCTATGCTGTTCTTGTGGTAGATGAGTCTCACAGGATATCTGATGGTTCTCTAAATGGGAGTTCCCCTGCATAAGCTCTCTGGCGTGCCATCATGTAAGACATGCCTTTGCTTTTTTGCCTTCTGACATGATTGTGAGGCCTCCCCAGCCATGTGGAACTGTGAGTACATTAAACCTCTTTCCTTTATAAATTACTGTCCTGGGTATGTCTTTTTTTTTTTTTTTTGAGATGGAGTTTCACTCCCCTTACCCAGGCTGGAGTGTAATGGCATGATCTCGGCTCACCGCAACCTCCGCCTCCTGGGTTCAGGCAATTCTCCTGCCTCAGCCTCTTGAGTAGCTGGGAATACAGGCACGCGCCACCATGCCCAGCTAATTTTTTTTTTTTTTGTACTTTTAGTAGAGACAGGGTTTCACCATGTTGACCAGGATGGTCTCGATCTCTTTACCTCGTGATCCACCCACCTCGGCCTCCCAAAGTGCTGGGATTACAGGCGTGAGCCACCACGCCCGGCCCAGGGTATGTCTTTATTGGCAGCATGAGAACGGACTAATACAGTAAATGTGCTGGTAGAGTGAGGTGCTGCTGTAAAGATACCCAAAAATGTGGAAGCAACTTTGGAACTGGGTAACAGGCAGAGGTTGGAACAGTTTGGAGGGCTCAGAAGAAGATAGGAAAATGTGGGAAAGTTTGGAACTTCCTAGAGACTCGTTGAATGGCTTTGACCAAAATGTGGATGGACAATGATGTCCAGGTTTAGGTGGTCTCAGATGGAGATGACGAACTTGTTGAAAACTGGAATAAGGGTGACTCTTGCTATGTCTTAGCAAAAGGACTGACAGCATTTTGCCCCTGCCCTAGAGATCTGTGGAACTCTGAACTTGAGAGAGATGATTTAGAGCATCTGGCAGAAGAAATTTCTAAGCAGCAAAATGGCCAAGAGGTGACTTGGGTACTGTTAAAAGCATTCAGCTTATGTATTGGAATATGGTTTGGAATTGGAACTTATGTTTATAAGGGAAGCAGACCATAAAAGTTTGGAAAATTTGTAGCCCGATGATGCAGTAGAAAAGAAAAACCCATTTTCTGAGGAGAAATTAAAGCCAGCTGCACAATTGGATAAGTAATGAGAAGCCAAATGTTAATCACCAAGACAGTGGGGAAAATGTCTCCAGGATATGTCAGAGGTCTTCATGGCATCTCCTTCCCATTTTGCCTAGGAGGAAAAATGATTTTGTGGGCCAGATCCAGCACCTTGCTGTGTGCAGCCTAGGGACTTGGTGTCCTGTGTCTCAGCTGCTCCAGCCATGACTAAAAGGGGCCAACATAGAGCTTGAGTTGTGGCTTCAGAGGGTGCAAGCCCCAAGCCTCAGCAGCTTTCAGGTGGTGTTGGTTCTGCAGGTGCACAAAATACAAGAATTGAAGTTTGGGAACCTCTGCCTAGATTTCAGAGGATGTATGACAATGCCTTGATGTCCAGGCAGAGGTGTGCTGCAGGGGTGGAACCCTCACGGAGAACCTCTGCCAGGGCAGTGTGGAAGGGAAATGTGGGGTGGTAGCCCCAGTACAAAGTCTCTGCTTGGGTACTGCCTAGTGAAGCTGTGAGAAGACAGCAATCATCCTCCAGACCCCAGAATCATAGATCCACTGACAGCTTGCACCATGTACCTGGAAAAGCTGCAGACAATGCCAGCCCACGAAAGCAGCCAGGAGGGGGTTGTGCCCTACAAAGCCACAGGGGTAGAGCTGCCCAAGGCCATGGGAACTCACCTCTTGCATCAGCATGACCTGGATGTGAGACATAGAGTCAAAGGAGATCATTTTGGAGCTCAAAGATTTGACTGCCCTGCTGGAGTTCAGACTTGGATGGGGCCTGTAGCCCCTTCGTTTAGGCCAATTTCTCCCATTTGGAGAATGGACTAATCTAGTAGCCTATAGGCTGCAGTTGGCAGATCATTGTCCTCAGAGAACTGGAAAGCAGGCTGGTGAGGGAGCTGAGCAGTGGAGAGAAAAGCAGTCAGATGGGTCAGACAGAGCAGTGGGACCAGGATGGTCTAACATCCTCAGGGATGTTACCAGGGGATTCACCTGTCTGGAGTTGCAGAGCTGGAAGTTACTTGGCAGTGGGCATTGCCCGAGGCAGCTTCCAAAGGAAAGGGCTGTGTCCAAGCACACATCTGGGGCTGCTGCTTCCACAGTTGCCCTGCCTCCCTTGTGCAATCTGAAAGGAAACTTTCCCTCTCGACTTCTGCTATTTCATCAGCAAAATGAAGCCCTGGGGTAAATGCACTTCCACAGCCCAGCTGGGCTCTGGCATACTGTGGTCACCCTTGGCTGTGCGAGTCAGGTTCCAAGACCCCAGTGGATACCTAAAGCTGCAGTTAGTACCAAGCACTATATATACTGTTTTTTTTCCAAATATGCAAACTGTGATAGAGTTTATCAATTAGGCACAGTAAGAGATAGCAACAATAACCAATAATAAAGTAAAATAGGCTGGGCATGGTGGCTCATGCCTGTAATCCCAGGACTTTCAGAGGCTCAGGCAGGAAGATTGCTGGAGCGCAGGAGTTGAAGACCAGCCTGGGCAACACAGTGAGACCTCATGTGTATATTTAAAAAAGAACAATTATAACAATATAGTGCAATAAAATTTGGTGAATATGGTCTCTTTTCTCTCATGGCCACACCAGCAAGATGCCCCTAGGTGGGCTGCCCTCCTTGCCAGCCCTCAGCTTTTCTTGGTCCAGGGGGACAAATAGGGCAGTGGGACCAATAGCTGAGGGCCTACTCTGTGCTGGCCACTAGAAGAGCCCCTGAGCTTGGGCCTAGCATTCACTGTGCCTATAAGATGCATCTCCTTTATCCCTGATGGCAGTGTCCCTGGGCCAGCCATGGAGGGGCCTGGCAGCTGCTCCTGCCCACAGAACTGCCTCAGCTCTGCCGCTCTGCTTTCCTGGCATGGAGCAATTAGGCTCTGGCACATGGCACCACCCTCAGCTATTTACTAGGGACACTTCCATCCACCTGTCACTTGTTCCATGTAGGGCAAGGCCCCAGCATCCCTATGTCATAGCAGGGAGGCTCAGCATGGAGCAGCCTCACCACCCACAGGCAGAGCTGCAGAAAGAGCAGGGATACAGTGTCATGTTACCCATTTCACAGGTGGCAACACTGAGGCTCAAAGCCTAAATGCCTTGCCAGAATGTGGCAGAGAGGGGGTTTGAACCCAGGCTGGTTAGACTTTGCAGCCCAGTGTTCTGTCACTGAACAAGGTGCTTCTCCCAGCAGCCGACCAGAAACTGAACACTGAGCCTGAATCCATTCATTGGTCTGGATAGGCAGCGGGTTTTGGCTCCTGAAACAGCCATGATGTCTTCTCTACAGTGAAGCCCCCCTAGAATCCATTCTGCCCAGATTTCCCCAACTGCTCTCCCTGGGCCAATCCTGTACCTGTAGGTAGCAGGGACAGGCTGGAGACATACCCAGGCTGTGCCCCAGGCAGGAGAAATGCTGAACTCAGTCCTGACCCCATGGCTCTGAACAGGTCTCCTCCCTCTCTGAGGCTGTTTTCCAAATGCAGGCAGTCCCCAGGCCTCTTGAGGTCAGCCCCACTCATGTTGTGACCCTGACCCTCCTCACCTCAGAGACACCAGCAGGTGGCAGCCCCTGCCCCACACGCCTCACCTGAGGATTGGACAGAGCAATATTAGAAATTGCGCAAGAGCACCTCAACCGCCGTCAGCTGCTCTATGCATGTTTGTTAAATAAACGCAGATGACTACGTTAACAGCCACTCAGACACAGTGAGCTCCAGCCTCTCCCTGCATCAAGGCGCACCCCAGACCCTAAGCTCAGAATTCATTGCTGTTCTTGGCACACATCAAGTGAGTTTCCACCTCCAGGCCTTTACCAGTCCCTCTGCAGGGCCTGCCAGGCAGCCCCTCCCATCCCAAAACATCACTTCTCTGTGAAGCCTTTGCTTGGCCCCAGCTCCCACAGCACCCTACACATGAGGACGTTCACCCCACTGCGATGGGGCACTGTCACCCTGCAGACTGAGAGCTCCTCAGGGCCAGGTCTCCCAGACAAGGTCCCCTCAGTAGGGGTGCACGTGCTCCACCCTGCCTGCATCTCACAAGGTGTATGGGTGCATTTGGAAAACACTGGACCCAGCAAAATGAGCCATGGCTCTCCACAACAGGACGTCCCACAGCCTTCAGTGTATGTAGGTTCCCAGAGAAATGCTGAGTTTTACAGTGTGTCCCCGCAGACTGCTCTGTTTTGAGACATCTGCTAATAAGTCTCACTGCTTGTGTTCCATGGGAGCAATCTGGGGAAGCCTGTTCCCACTGGGTAGGGTAGGGAGGCATCTGTCCTACACTAGATGAGCTCCAGGCAGCCTTTAGGAAACCCCATCCCTGGGCCTGGGCCTCTCCCCTGGCCTCCATCCCCACTGTTCCTGGATCAGACTGGAAGTAACCTTTCAAGCCACCCTCCACTTGGGTCCTGTGTGCCCAAGGCCCACCTGAGTTTGAGCCTGGAGTGGCAGGAGCGGGCGCCCGGTCCCATTATACCAATGGCTTACTTGGCAACCCTGGGCAAGTCCCTTCCTGTTTCTGGCCTCAGTTAACACAAAAAGGGACTTAGTAGGATCTCCCCAGCACCTTCCAGCTCTGACATCTCAGGAGGAGCCAGGGCCCCTCTCTGGGCCAAGGGAAGGGGAGTTTGTTTGGCCTCTGGGATAAACCAGGAGAAACCGAGGGCTGCAAGGCATAATCTCAGAAAATGGTCAGAAGCTGCAGACTCTGATCTCCCAGGACTTGTGTGACTTCCCTACACTGCCGCTTCTGTTAGGAGAGCTACCTACTCACCCCATCTGCGTGGTTAGCGCTTGGGACAAGGGAATCCCGATGAGCCTCGGGAGAGGGCAGAAAGTGGGAGGGCCTCTATGGGTGTGAAGGCGGGGACTTCCTCTGAGACAATGTGGCGGGAACACTCCCTGCCCCTCGGGGTGCTGGTCTGGGATGGGGTGGGAGGTGGGCTCTGGGCAGGTGGTTACCTACCTCATGGTGCCGCCCTCGGAGGTCCAGGACATCCCTCTTGGTGACAGACCAGTGGCAGGTCAGGCCTGGCACAGCATTGCCAAAGGAGAAAGGGTTCTGGTGGTTGGTGATGCTGGTGACATAGACAGGCATCTAGGAGAAGTCAGGCCTGGTGACTAGCAGGTCCCAGCACTGGGAATGTCCCCAGAAGCTCTGCTGCCTCCGTCAAGCAGTGGGAGATGTACCCAATTCTTCCCCAACCACAGAAGGGCACGGCACGGGTTCGGGAGTTTGGATGAAATACCAAATGAGCAAACCAAAGGCGGGACTGTTTTCCCCACGCGGCCCTCCCCTGCAGCGGGCTGCACCTCCGCATGGCCGAGACTCATTTCTGGAAGGAGTCCCTGAAGCTCTAGGAGGCTGGGGGTTCCCCAGCAGCACAGTTCATGCTGCCCCACACGGCTGGTTCCTCCGGGACCCTCTCTCCTAATTGAGCCGGGGTCCTTGCTCACAAGGCACACGTGGGTGGGGTCCCCGGCTCCTTCAGTCTCTATTTGCTGAGAGTCTGCTGAGGGCACAGGTGGAGGTGAGACAGCAAGAGGTCACAGCAGGTGCTGCGCCAGGCTGCCCAGTCTACTCCCACTGCCGCCACTTCCTAGCTGTGTGGCCCTGGGCACAGGTCTTAAGCTTTCTGTGTGTTCAATTGCTCATCTACGACATGAAGATGTTTCTGACACTAGCCTCCCAGGGCTGCTATGAACACCAAATGGATTAATGTCCAAGACAGCACAGAGTGGACTAAGTGCCACGGTCACTGTGCTCCTGTTAGGCGCCCAGTGCTATTCGAGATCTGGGAAGGTGACAGGCCAGCAGGAAGCAGGCCTTCATCAGGGCATCTCTCTGGGCAGGGGTGGGTGGGAAGCTGACAGTGCTCCCCTAAATACCTCAGCCAGGCAGATGGAGGAGGTGGGGAAATGCTCTAGCTCGAGGACAGGGTTCCAGCAGTGGCTTTTTGGAAACCATGATTCAGAGCCCAGGAGGTCCCCTTACCTGGGTGCCCGTCCTCATCCGTGTGATGGGGGTGCAGATCCTCATGGCCTGTAGCAGCAGCACCTCCACCTGCACGAGGTCCTGGGGAAAGAGCGTGGCACTCAAGTGTGGGGCGCGGGGATGCTGTGCTGGTAGGGGATGTTTCAGGAAGGGACCCCTTGAGGGAAGGAGGGTGTGGCTCACAGTCCATGGTGAGAAGGCCCCTCAGGATGCCCAGCACCGTGCTCCTCTGCCCAGGGAGGCCTGGCTTTGTGGGCAGCTCGCCCCTCATGGGCTGGCCGCTGCTCTCCCATGGCTCCAAGGGTCCCAGCCCAGTTCCCTGAGGCTGCCATCCTGTGTGATCAAGCTGCTCCAGGTCAGCACTGCAGACTTGGGGCCAGGGACTGGTGCCTGTTCTTCCATAGGCCCAGCTACCCTCAAGGGACAGGTCTTCAGACCTCCCAACCTCAAATCCAGACTGCCTGTCTCTGACTGAGTAGGGTACAGGGACAAATGCCAGAGCCCAGTAGAGTCTGATTAGAGCACACCTTATAACCTCTTTCATTTTCAACTCCATACTCCTATTAATCTGGCCAAAGAGTAACTACCCCTTCTGGCTTCTTCCTAGTGCTGCTGACTCACGTTGAACTGAGGCTACCCTTAGGCCCTTTGGCATGTGCTCATGCGGAGCCCACCGTCTGTGCCTTGTGACTTGGGCTAATGCCTGGCACATAGTAGGTGCTTGATAAGCACTCATACCCTCCTTTCACTCATCCTTTTGCTCAGTCTCTTCCTACTAGTCCTGGCCCACCCCACGGCCTTAGGATGCTAATTGTGTGATGAAGATGCCTTTCAGATGCGGCTGGTGGTAGAGCCCCTCCACCTGCCAAGACCATCTGGGCCTTTTCCCAGCACCTTCCCCAACCCACCAGATGAGGGACCAAGTGAGGGAGGGTGCCTAGCAAGGTCAGACCACAAAGACGAGGAATACGCAGCGCCCTCTGCTCCTCTGGCTGAATTTCTAGCCAGCTGCCCTTTCAGCTGACCAGACATTATATAATTTCATTTGCATAAGATGTTCAAAACAGCCAAATCTACACAGACACAAAGTAGATCAGTGGTTGTTCAAACCTGGGTCAAGGTGTGTGTGTGTGCGCACGTGCACGTGCACACGTGTGCACACACACACACAATAATAAAGAGGTGGCTGGGTGCAGTGGCTCCCGCCTATAATCCCAGCACTTTGGGAGGCTGAAATGGGTGGAACATCCAAGGTCAAGAGTTTAAGATCAGCCTGACCAATACGGAAAAACCTCATCTCTACTAAAAATACAAAAATTAGCCAGGCGTGGTGGCATGTGCCTGTAGTCCTAGCTACTTGGGAGGCTGAAACAGGAGAATTGCTTGAACCTAGGAGGCGGAGGTTGCAGTGAGCTGAGATCATGCCATTGCAGTCCAGCCTGGGCAAAAAGAATGAAATTCCATCTCAAGATAAATAAATAAATAAAAACAAGAGGGAGGTGACAGCTGGAGTGAATGGGTTTCTTTGTGAGGTAATGGAAACACTGTACAAGTGACTTGGTGATGGTAGCCAACTGTGAATGCACTAAAAAGCCCTGAACTATATGCTTCAGGTGTGTGAATTGTATGGTGTGTGAATTACCTTGATACAGCTGTGATTAAAACAACAGAAATCAGCTAGAGGTGCACAGTGACTGCCCTTGGACCTGGCCCGTGAGCTTCAGTTTGCCACAGTCCCCACCACCCTGTTACTCCCCGACACTGCTCCTCGGAGCCAGATCCATTTAGCACAGCACTTCCAGCTGTGTTCCTCACACCCTGCTGCTTCCCCTTAGTCTTTACACCTGTGTGGGCCCAGAGGCAGTTAATTTGGTGACAGTCTATGTGAAGACAGTAGGTGCAAAAAGCCAGAGAAAGGTCCCTGGCTGTGTTTCTGAAAGGAGACTCTGGGACATGGTCACTGCAAAGGTGAACTCCGACTCTGATCTTTCCTGAAGCCAGGAAGTTGTTTCCTACTGCTTCGAGCCTGTGAGGGCTACCTCCATGAACCAGGCAAAGCTGAGAGCAAACCTGGGCATCAGGATGGCGGGAGACTCACCGTCAGCGCTCCTCTAGCCTGTCCACAGGGCTGCACCATCTGAGTCCCCACCACACACCAAGTGCCGAATCAACCCAGGCCTTGCTGGGTCCGGGGAAAGTCTCTGAAGCTGGCCTGATTGCAACACTCCTCAATCACGCGGAACTTCCCCTTTTAATGGAGAAAAGCAGGTCTTGGGCTCAGAGCCACCCAAAGGCCACAGCACAGCTGTGATTTAATGACATACTGGGGTGGGTGTCACTGCCATTGTTGTATCAAACCAATGAGCTTTGGGCTGCCTTGGGTTGATGACCTAGGGAGGGTTTATTATAATCTCAGTAGTTCCCTCTTAAAGTAAGTTCTGTATTCATGATTGTATCATAACCCATCGTGCAGACATGCAGACATGTTTCATAGTGTTTGTTTTTACTTTTTATTCTACACTAACCTATATTTTTGAAAGAACAGAAAGCTTAAGACCATCCAAATACTCTATTTAGAGAGAATGTCTAAAGTACAAATAAAGACGGCATAAAAATAATCAGCCGGCCTCCATAACAACATGGAGAAATAGAAAAAGTGAGAATAAGATCATGGAAAACAGAACACTAAATTCTTCCATGCCACAAGTACAGTTAGGTCAACACTTGCAAGAATAGGGAAAGGGTCAAGAATCAACCTGGGGAAACAGAAAGGTGCAACCTCTTTTAAAAGCCTTTTTCTTTAAGGTTGTTAGAGTGCTGCTTATGTAATAACATTTTAATCTTAATGGAAAGATTGGCTGAAAGGAAACCATTAGGTGACAGTGTGGGTAGTTTGTGGACATTGAATGAAAATCAAAACGGTAGCCTGGGCGCAGAGGGTCACGCCTGGAACACCAACAGTTTGGGAGACCAAGGCTGGCGGATCTCTTGAGCCCAGGAGTTTGAGACCAGCCTGGGCAACATGGCGAGAACTTGTTTCTACAAAAAATTAGCCGAGCGTGGTAGCATGCACCTATAGTCCCATCTACTTGAGAGGCTAAGGTGGGAGAATCTCATGAGCCCAGGAGGTCGAGGTTGCAGTGAGCTATGATCCTGCCACTGCACTCTAGCCCAGGCAAAAAAAAAAAAATCACAAAGGTAGCATGGAAATGACTAAAGTAGCAGAAAGAATCAGAGACTCTAAAGGCTTTGCTAGTTATAGCTGATGAGATTAAGTGACAGCTTTTAAAAACAACCAATCTACTAATCACAGAATGGCCTAGGTGAGGAATGAAAACCACCCCGGAGAACCGATGGCCCATGCTCACCAATGGTGCCCTGGCCTCCTGGTAGGCCACCTTGATGTCATCTGTGGCACTGCCATCGAGAAAGAAGTAACCTGAGTGTTTCCTGATGTGGAGCTCCACCTGCAGGAGGAAGACTTAGGGACAGTCAGACTGCATGTTGGAAGGCGGGGCGTCCCCTGGTGGGTCTCACCCACGCAGGAGGTGGCAGGACAAGGGCCGTATCCGGATGCCAAGGTGTTTGTAGGTCACTTCTTCCTAGCGTGAGGTCCTCCACCAGGTCTCCACCAGGATGAGCTCTGTAGAGGCACCAGAGGGTTGCGCTGAAGGGCAAGAGCAAGGCCATCAGATGTAGGAGGCCCTGGGACACCCACGGACCAACCCCAGGCCATCCTCAGACTGCCCCTAACACAAGCAGGCCCAGAAGCCCCAGGGCCAGGCCTTGCTCCCAGACACAAGCCCCGAGGAGCCCCTGGTGCTCCTGAGCCCAGTGGAATCGCCACGGCATCTTTGAGGCCTCCCATCAGCCTCACAAGGTGGAGTTAGTTGCCAGCTCCTCCACTCCAGACCCAGGAGGGGGTTGGCAGCAGTCCTGCTTAGATGCCTCCTCACCCTACCAGGCCCCAGCAGTGGTGACTCACATACATGCCTTGCCCTTCAGGACCTCACAGCAAAAGGCCAGCTTTGGAGTGTGTGGCAGATACTACCCTGGGCAGGACAGGAAGGCTGCCAGTCAGGCCAGGCATTGGGGGAGGGTCCCCTGGAAGAGTGGCCACGGCTGGCTTACAAGAGAACAAGGACAGCCCTCATCACCTAAGGCAGCATTCCACCCAGTGACATCTGTTCCCTGCCTCATGTCACACAGGGGAGCTGCCCAGATCCGAGGCCCCCAGGGAGTCATGTGTTTGAGCACCTCTTCAGGGCCACAGGTGTGCCAGGCACTCAGGGTGCAGCAGCTTCCTCCAGGGAGAGGCACGATAGAAGAGGAAGAGTAGGCTGGGCACAATGGCTCCCGCCTGGAATCCCAGCAATTTGGGAGGGCAAGATGGTAGGATTGCTTGATCCCAGAGGTTCAAGATCAGCCTGGGCAACATGGTGAGACCCTCTCTCTTCAAAAAATTAGCCAGGTATGGTGGCATAAGCCTGTAGTCCCAGCTACTTGGGAGGCTGAGGGGAGGATCACTTGATCCTGGGAGGTGAAGGCTGAAGTGAGCTATGATTGTGCCACTGCACTCCATCCAACCTGGGTGACAGAATGAGACCCTGTCTCGAGATCGATCCAAGATGGCCGACCACTAACAGCTCAGGATTGTAGCTCCCAGTGAAAGCCCAGAGAACGAGACGACGCCACACTTTTAGACAAATTTTCGTCACTCACCGATCAGCTGATTCCCAGTGGAGGAGCCCCACGGGTTGCCAGCGCGATTCTTGTGGCCGCTGCAGCGGTTTTGCCGGCTTCTCGGCGCAGCAGCTCTTCATGCAGAGCCAACGGGACTGCTTCCCCTACTGACCGGAGTTTGGAGCTCCGGGAAATCAGAGCCGCTTGTTGCAGACTCAAGAGGGAAGCCAGACCAGAGATTCCCGGGCAGAAGAGCACCATCAGTCTTACCGCTGCTATTTAGGCTGCCACAGTGGGTTGCTTGGATCCCAACACTGGGAATCAATAAGTCGGACGTCGACTCAGAAAACTAATTCGAAAGGCGGTTCATCTACAATGAAGGGAAAAAAACAGCCTAAGAAGGCCGAGTATACTCAAAATCAGAACCCATCAGCAACAGAACAAGCCCTGATGGAAAAGGACTCATCAGCAACCGAACAAGCCCTGATGGAAAAGGACTCATCAGTAACGGAACAAGCCCTGATGGAAAAGGACTGTGTTCCATTATCTGAAGTAGGCTTTAAAAGGTGGATGATAAGAAACTTCTGGGAGTTAAAGGAACTCGTTCTAACCCAATGTAAAGAAACTAAGAACTTGGAAAAAAGGTTAGATGAAATGTTGAAAAGAATAGACAATATAGAGAGGAATACAAATGAACTTATGGAGTTGAAAAATACAACACGAGAACTTAGTGAAATATGTACAAGCTTAAACAGCCGAATGGATCAAGCAGAAGAAAGGGTATCAGAGGTCGAAGACCAACTTAATGAAACAAAACGACAAGACAAGAATAGAGAAAAAAGGATAAAAAGGAATGAGCAAAGTCTCCAAGCAATATGGGACTATGTGAAAAGACCTAATATACGCTTGATTGGTGTACCTGAATGTGACGGAGAGAATGAAGTCAAGCTGGAAAATACTCTCCAGGACATTATCCAGGAAAATTTTCCTAATTTAACAAAGCAGGACACTATTCAACCCCAGGCAATACAGAGAACACCACAAAGATATTCCTCAAGAAGACCAACCCCAAGGCACATAATCGTTAGATTCACCAAGATCGAAACGAAGGAGAAAATATTAAGGGCAGCCAGAGAGAAAGATCAAGTTACCCATAAAGGTAAGCCTATTAGGCTTACAGCAGATCTCTCAACGGAAACCCTACAAGCTAGAAGAGAGTGGGGGCCAATATTCAATATACTTAATCAACAGAATTTTCAGCCCAGAATTTCATATCCTGCCAATTTAAGCTTTACATTTGAAGGAAAAATAAAATTTTTTAGGAACAAGCAAGTACTCAGAGATTTTATTACCACCAGGCCTGCTTTACAAGAACTTCTAAAAGAAGCACTATACACAGAAAGGAACAACCAGTATGACCCTTTCTAAAAATACACCAAAAAGTAAAGAGCATTAACATAAAGAAGAATTTTTATCAACAAAAGGACAAAATAGCCAGTTAATATCAAATGGCAGCAACCCTAAATTTAAATCGACCAAATCTCCCAATCAAAAGATACAGACAAAATCTAACGGTATATCCAAAGATATACATAGACTCAAAATAAAGGGTTGGAAAAAAAAAAACGTACCAACCAAATGGAGAGCAAAAATAAATAAATAAAAAGCAGGAGTTGCAATTTTCACATTTGACAAAATAGATTTCAAAGCTACAAGGATAAAAGGATTAATGTAATAATAAGAGATCTTAACACCCAGATACATAAGACACATAATGAGATTTAGATTCAACGAGACAGAAAATTGATAACGATATCCGGGACTGGAACTAAGATCCAGAACAAATAAACTCAATAGAGCTCTCCATTTTAAACACACAAAATATACATTATCCACAAAATCTAACGATATATCTAAAGATATACAAAGACTCAAAACAAGGGGATGGAAAAAAACTCACCAACCAAATGGAGAGCAAAAATAAATAAATTAAAAGCAGGAGTTGCAATTCTCACACTTAATAAAATAGATTTCAAAGCTACAAGGATGCAAGGGTAAAAGGATTAATGCAACAATAAGAGATCTTAACACCCAGATACATAAGACACATAATGAGATTTAGATTCAACGAGACAACAAATTGATAACGATATCCAGGACTTGAACTCAGACCCAGAACAAATAAACACAATAGAGGTCTCCATTTTAAACACATAAAATATGCATTAACCACTTTAAACACTCAAAATATTGATCGGCCATTATTGAAACCCATTTTAGGAATGAAGTAATATTCCTTTTTCCCTCTTTTTCTTTTTTTCCCCTTCTTCTTCTCAAAAAAAAAAAAAAAAAAAAAAAAAAAAAGAATGAGACCCTGTCTCAAAAAAAAGAAAAAGAGCAACAGTGAGTTAATGACAGGAAGGTGTGCAGTGTGGGTAACAAGGACGAGGAGGGAGAACAGCTCTCAGGGGAGCAGAGACCTCAAGGGGAGGAAGCCTGAGTGACTTAGCAATTGGGGATGCCATCAGGACAGAGGGAGGAAGTGCAGAATCCTGGGGGGGACATGTTGGGGTGTTCAGGCACCAGGCAGGAGGCCATGGCACCACCAACTCCCAACTAAGGAATTCCTGGTGCCAGTGAGGACTGAACCATCACAGTCAAGCACAGGTGTGCAGGGCCACCTTCCTCCACGCTGGCTTCCCCAATGTTGCACCCATGCAGCCTTGGCCTCTTCCAAAGCTTGCTGCAAGGAGGCAATAGAAGCGCCTCATCCTGACGTTTAAGGACCCTGGGAATCCAGCCCTCCCCTCCCCTTCCAGCCTGTACCAGCTGCCTCCACCTTATTCAAGACCTAAATTTCCTGGTGGCCATGTCCCACATGAGGTGGCTGTCATCCATGCAGGTCTATTCCTGGGAGCCTTCCCTTCCCCACCTCTATTGAACTTAAGGGGCCCCTATTATCAATAGCAGTGCCTCTGCCTGGGGCCCCAAGGGGCTGGGGTGGGAGAGGGGTGGTCCAGCAGGCTGTGATCCATGTGCCCAGATAATAGCAAGTATGTGTGTATGTGTGCATGTGTGTGCATGTGCGTGTGCATGTGTGTGTGGGGGGGTGCGTGGGGGGGTGGTTCTGCACCGTGACAGCAAGAAAGCACAATGGTTCTGGGATCCAGGGCAGAAGAGGCTCCTCTGTGTCTCGGACTCAGGGATCGATGCTCCCCAGAGTGCCAGATATCTCAGCTGGGACTGAAGGGACAGGAAGGCATCCAGTGCAGGAGAGTAAGGGGGGCACTCCAGGCAGTGGGGAATGCAAGAAACATGACCCAACCAGGCACACTGGGTGGTCGGTAAGACAGGGCCATGGGGAGAAGAGGCTGCCCAGGTGAGCCCTGGTGAACAAGGAGAAGGGCTACCTTCTGAAGGTCTCAGGGCCACCAGAGGTGGCTTTCCCTTGGATCCCTCTGGAAGCCTGGATGGAGGGGCATGGGTGGTGGAGGCACATGAAGAAGGAAAATCCTACAAGAAAAGAAAAATGGGCTGGGTGCGGTGGCTCATGCCTGTAATACCAACACTTTGGGAGGCTGAAGCGGGCAGATCACCGGAGGTCAGGAGTTTGAGACCAGCCTGGCCAACATGGTGAAACCCCATCTCTATGAAAAATACAAAAATTAGCTGGGCATGGTGGCGGGTGTCTGTAATCCTAGCTACTCAGGAGGCTGAGGCAGGAGAATTGCTTCAGCCCAGGAAGCGAGGTTGCAGTGAGCTGAGATTGTGCCATGGCCCTGCAGCCTGGGTAACAACAGCGGGAGACTCCATCTTGAAAAAAAGAAAAAGAAATATTCCTGTTAAGTTTTGAAGGGAAGATGAGGGTTAAAGAAAGATGCACACACAGAAAGAGGGCGCTCAACAGCAAATGCAGGTTTTATGTCCAGCATGAAGCCTAATGCCGGAGCCCACCACTGCATACGGGCTGGGGGTACTTATAGGTATGGGCAGGAGGGGTCTGGGCAGTACAGCTTACTACCCACAGGATATTGATCAGATGTTCCCATGATGAGGCGATTCTGGCCCTTGCTCTGGCGGGATGTTATCATGGTGTTCCCTGGATCTTTGTTCAGCAAGATACGATGGGGATGTTTCTCTAGTTGGGCCTTTGTCTGCCTTGTGGTCACGTGGTTAGGCAGGATGCTTCTCATGGCCTGAACCCCTGTGAAACCTTTCACTTTGACCAAGGTCTGCAAAATAGCAGGGAGCTTACAACATGGTGCGGTTTTGACTAACAATTCCCTCCCTTCTGAATGATCTAGACCAATCATTCAGAGATGAAAGAAAACAGAATTGAATATTTTGAGTGTAGACATTAGGAGATCTTTAAAATCCAAAAGTTACTTCAAATTTTGAAACTACAAATGAAAATGCCATTGAAGTATTGTGCCAGTTTAAATAGCAAGGAAACTAAATATCAATCTCTACAACTCAGCTAGACAAAAAGCACTTTTCTTTTCAAAAAAAAAAAAAAAAAGAGGATGTTTTGGGGCCCCAAAGCAAGAAAATCACTGTGAATGAAATGATCGCCAACCATGACTGGCCCACGCTTTGCTCTGACTTCATGAAGAGCCATTGTTATGGAATCACACCCAGGGCCTATAGAAGGTCTGCTATCCCTGGAAGCCTATTTGGTGACCTGTGGACTCAGACCAGTTTAGCAATTGCAAGTTGTGTATGCATGTACGTGTGTGTGTGTGTGTGTGTGTGGTGGGTTTGTTGTGGAGGGGTTTGTGTGGGGGGTTTGGGTGTGGGAGGGTGGGGTGTGGGGCGGTTGGTGTGTTTTTTCTAGTTAGCATTGTTAGTGAAGTTAGTATATTCTGCATCATTGCTTAGTATTTTGAGTGCAGTCAGAATTATCAGTATTGTTAGCAGAGTCAGTACAGTTAATGTAGTTTTGTAGTTAGTGTAGTGAGAAGGCACCACAGAGCAGGGATCACCTCCAACTCACCTAACCAGTGTTCGGTTTTGAAGGGAAGGTGAGGGTTAAAAACACACAGAGAAGGGCCAGATCAAACAGCAACACAGGTGCATTGCAGACATCCGTGCAAGTGGGGGACCGGCTGAATGCCAGCGCCCACCGCATCTGGGAGTGGGGCAGGGAAGTGCGTCATAGAGGAAGGCTGCTCCTGGCTAGGGCTCCACCCCTGGGCCTGTGCCCACAGAGGTGAGGACAGGTTGTTTCTATTTTCATGCCCAAATGCTGCATTTTCCAAGACCACCCTGGCCTACCACGCCCCCAATCTGTGCCTCTAAAAACCCCAAGATCCTATCAGGCAGAGACACAAGCGGCTGGACATCAAGAGGGACACACCGACAGGCACTCGCAGACGACAGCAGGCCGTTGACAGGTGGAGCAACGCAGAGTTCGGCTGAGGGCAGCTGGAGGAGAGCCAAGCTGCTGGGTGGCCCAACTCCAGAGGAAAACCACCTTCCCACTCCGTTCCCCTGCTGGCCTCCCCGTCCACCTCCCTGAGAGCTACTTCCAGCACTCAATAAAAAACTTTGCACCCATCCTCCAAGCCCACGTGTGAGCTGATTTTTCCGGTATACTAAGGCAAGAACCTGGGATACAGAAAGCCCTCTGTCCATGTCGTAAGGCCTCTGTCCATGTGTTAATTGAGCTGATTAACACAAGCCGCCTGTGGACGGCAAAACTGAAATGGCACGCCCACTGGGGCTTCAGCTGTAAACATTCACCCCTAGACAATGTCATGGGGTCGGGGCCCCACAGCCTACCTGTCTGCATGCTCCCCTAGAGGTTTGAGCAGCGGGACACAGAAGAAGCGAGCCACACCCCTGTCACATGCCCTGTGAGGGGGATAAGGGAACGTTTCCCATTTCAACAGGGAAATACATACAGGTACAGGTGGAAGGGGTCTGGGCCGTATGGCTTGCTGTTCGGCAGTATATGGATAAGATGTTTCCACGATGAGGTGGTTCTAGCCCTTGTTCTGGTGGAATGTGGTGTTCCTTGCACTTTCTCCCAGCAGAATATGATAAGGCAGGATGGTTCTCACGGCCTGAGCCCCCGGGGAATGTTTCACTTTGACCAGGGCTTGCAAAATGGCAGGGGGCTTACAAAATGGTGCAGTTTAGATGAACATTCTTGCCTTCTACTTTAATAAAAAGGAATAGGGGCGTTGATTATCTGGCTGCTTCCTGCTGAGTAGGGGTGCTGTACTTGGTTTGGGTTTCGAAACAGCGGGTGTCCAACTTCAGAGCTGTTTTCCTGGAGGCACTGATACCAGACTTGGCAGAGAAGGATGGTATCAATGTGTTTCTGGGTGGCTGCCTGGACAAGGGAGTCAGCCTTTGGGAGATAAAGTGGGATATGAAGATGAGTATTAGGAGGAAGATTAGGGGCCCTAAGGAAGGGACAACTGGGGCCTGGCACGGTGGCTCATGCCTGTAATCCCAGCACTTTGGGAGGCAGAGGCAGGTGGATCACCTGAGCTCAGGAGTTTGAGATAAGCCTGGCCAACACAGTGAAACTCTGTCTCTACTACTAATACAAAAATTAGCCAGATGTGGTGGCACACGCCTGTAATCCCAGGTACTTGGGAGGCTGAGGCAGGAGAATTGCTTGAACCCAGGAGGGAGAGGTTGCAGTGAGCCAAGATCACGCCACTGGACTTCAGCCTGGGCAACAACAGCAAAACTCCACCTCAAAAAAAAGCGTATAATTCAGGGTTTTTTAGTATATTCATAAAGTTGTGGAATCATTACTACTATCTAATTTCAGAACATTTACATCACCCCAAAAAGAAACCCAGTTCTGGCCAGGCACGGTGTCTCACGCCTGTAAGCCCAGCACTTTGAGAGGCCAAGGTGAGTGGATCACCCGAGGTTGGTGACCAGCCTGACTAACATGGTGAAAACCTGCTTCTACTAAAAATATAAAATTAGCTGGGCTGGGCGTGGTGGCTCAAGCCTGTAATCCCAGCACTTTGGGAGGCCGAGGTGGGTGGATCACGAGGTCAAGAGATCGAGACCATCCTGGTCAAAATGGTGAAACCCTGTCTCTACTGAAGATACAAAAAATTAGCTGGGCATGGTTGACGTGTGCATGTAATCCCAGCTACTCAGGAGGCTGAGGCAGGAGAATTGCTTGAACCCGGGAGGCGGAGGTTGTGGTGAGCCAAGATTGCACCATTGCACTCCAGCGTGGGCGACAAGAGTGAGAGAGAGAGAGAGAGAGAGAGAGAGAGAGGGAGGGAGAGCGCGAGTTCCCACCAGCAGTCACCCGCTATTCCTCCAATTCCCCATCCCATGGCAACAGTTATTTTCTGTTTCCATGGATTTGCCTATTCCAGACATTCCATAGACATGAAATAATACAATATGGTGTCTTTTTAGACTGGCTTCCTTCACTTAGCATGTTTTCAAAGTCATCTGTGTTGCAGCATGATTTATCATTTTGTTTTTTTTAAGAGACAAGGTCTCACTCTGCCACCCAGGCTGGAGAGCAGTGACACACATAGCTCATTGTGGCCTGAAACTCTTAGGCGCAAGTGATCCTCCTGTCCCAGACTCCTGAGTACCTGGGACTACAGGTGCATGTCATTACACCTGCCTCATTTTTATGTTTTTGTAGAGACAATATCTGGTTATGTTGCCCAGGCTGGTCTCAAAATCCTGGTCTCAAAGGATCCTCCCACCTTGGCCTCCCAAAGTGCCAGGATTACAGGCATGTGCTACTGTGCCCAGCATGATTCATTCATCTTTGACTAAATAATATTCTACTATATAGATAAAGCACATTTTGAAATCCATATATCAATTGATAAACATTAGATTGTTTCTTATTGACTACTGCTGTGAGTTTTGATGTCCGAGTTTTTGTATGAGCATATGTTTTCCATTCTCCTGAGCATATATCTAGAAGAATTGCTGACTCATACATTAACTCTATGTTTGACTTATTTTATTTTTTTCTTTCTTTTTGAGATGGGGTCTTGACTGTTACCCAAGCTGGAATGCAGTGGCACAGTCACTGCTGACTGTAGCCTTGACCTCTGGAGCTCCAATGACGCCCCCATCTCTCTGTGTAGCTGTGTGCTTCAGGCAAGTTACTTCACCCCTCTTTCCAACTTTGAGACTTCAGAGAAGAGTTTTGCTTTTTTTTTGAGACGGAGTTTCGCTCTTGTTACCCAGTCTGGAGTGCAATGGCGCGATCTCAGCTCACTGCAACCTCCGCCTCCTGGGTTCAGGCAATTCTCCTGCCTCAGCCTCCTGAGTAGCTGGGATTACAGGCATGCGCCACCATGCCCAGCTAATTTTTTGTATTTTTAGTAGAGACGGGGTTTCACCACGTTGACCAGGATGGTCTTGATCTCTTGACCCACCCGCCTCGGCCTCCCAAAGTGCTGGGATTACAGGTGTGAGCCACCGCGCCCGGCGAGTTTTGCTTTTTTTGAGAACAGCCTCAGGCCAAAGATGCAGTGGCCCTCACACTCATAGCAGGCCCATGTTTTGGCAGTGTTGAGCTATAGCCTCTGGCTACACGTAGAGTGGATTATTGGTTTAAGGTCATCAGAAGGTGGGAGATTTGTTAGAGATGCTGCTTCTGTGAATTTCTAGAGGGAGGCAGAGATCATTACCTAGATCAGCTCCCGATTAGGGCGGCAAGTAGGGCAGTGCGTTCCAGCATGTGTCCTAGAGAATGCCGGGTCCACAGGACACTGATAGATGCCATAGAAAAATGGGCCCTTTGGTCAATTAGATGTGGGAAATGCAGGTTACACAAAGTTAAACAGATTTCTGTGTGTGTATATCTGCATGTGTGTCTATCTGCATGTGTGTGTACGTGTGCACACGTGTTCTTTGCTTAGCATAAGAAAAGTTCTGAGTGGAACTTTGAAAGTGACAGTGTAGCTGCCTTAGTCCGAGAGCCCAGCTGTGCAGCAGATGACTTATGGCGAAGGTTTCTCCAGTCTTTGTTGGGGACGGAAGTCATAGGGCATAAGAGCGGTGGGTGAAGTCAAGCAGCAATGCCAAGGGGAGAAAGGGCCTGCTTCTTTCTCAGTCAGCTCTCGCTTCCCATGGGAGCATGGGCTTTGGGATCAGGTGGACCTGAGGTCATGTTCTTACTTAGCTACTCACTGGCTTTGTCATCCTGGGCGGGTTATTTTACCTCCCTGAGGCTGGTTTTTCATGAGCTTAGTACCGTATATTTCATAGGACTGTCAAAAACAGAATCAAGGTTGGGAGTTAAAGCCAGTGTAAAAAAAAAAAAACACCAAGGCTATTAAAGGGATATTAAAGCAGGCATGGTGGTGGGTACCTGTTGTCCCAGAGCTCAGGAGGCTGAGACAGGAAGATCTCTTGAGTCCAAGAGTTTGAGGCTGCAGTGTGATATGATTACACCTGTGAATAGTCACTGCAGTCAGCCTGGGCAACATAATAAGACCTTATCTCTTAAAAAAATATTTTTAAACCAGGAGCCTCAGTAAATGGTAGCTGTCATCATCACTGTCAGCATCATAATTTTCTACCACACGTCTTGTCAGTGTTCACAGCAGCCTTTTCCTGTGTTAGTTCATGACTCAGATCTCTGCTAGATGGTGTCTCCTAACGCTGCAGTTTGAGTAATGTCATTAACAAATCCCCAGTCCAAACAGACACTAAAGTGAGCTCTGCCTGTCTCAGGGCTGTCATTACTTCTGCAGCCTCTGATGAATCTCACTTCTGGCCTCCTAAGGATAAGCCAACGCCCCCACTCCCCTCTTTCTTTTGATGAGTCCTTGCCTCTGCACAGAGCTTCTGGTGAAGGTAGCGGGAGCTGTTCTTGCAGAGCACATGGGATTCCAAGGGCCTGGCACTGGGCCAGGATCTTGTTGCCATGGTGACTGACACTGTTTTCTCCAAAATTCTGCCAGATCCTGAACATCTTCGTGGACAATCTCTGTGATCGTCCTGCTGAAGCAGGCCACATATCGACACCAAAGAGCTGCTTTTTCAGGTGAAGTCCCTGAGGAGGCCCAGGGACATCGTCCTTTGATTAGAGATCCTCCTCTTGCTTCACAGTCCCTGCAGGATGCTCTCCTGCTCTGGCCCAGGCAGGTCTCTGGGAGGAGCAGTGAAGGGCAGGGGCCAAGCACAGGCGCAGAGTCCCAGAGGCCCTGGGCCACAACCTGCTTCTCCCATGAGAAGCAGGCACAAGCAGCAGGGCCTGGGCCGGCCTCTTGAGCTTTGGTTTCCTTGCCAATGAGATGAGCCAGCAGAGCCTTTCGTGAGCATTTACCGAACAAGAAATGGGGCAGTGACTCTGAGGGGGGCATGTCATTGGCGCTCAGCGAATGGGGTGATGACTCCAAGTGGGGCGTGCTGTCCGTGCTCAGTGAATGGGGCGATGGTTGCGCTTCCTTTACAGAAGTCTGCGTCTCACCTGCTGCAGGCCTGCCTGTGTCTGCGCACCTATGGCACGGGAAAGAAACAGGATCAGTTTTGTCATCCAAAAGGGGGAAAGAGATGGGCAAGCCTGGCCTTCTACTAATTCACAAGAATGCTTGAAGAGCCAGCAGCATGCCAAGTGCTTGGATCTTTGGGGGTGTAGGCATTGTTTGGTGTCATTCAGCTCCGTGGCCGAGGAAGCTTGTCATGAGAGAAGGCAGCCTGGCGGCTCCATGCCTGGGGCCTGGCTGGCTTTCTGCTGGGCTCATGCTATTCTTCGTCTCTTTAGGTCTTTGAAGGTGCTCAGGACTGTTTTCTGGGATGAAGTTCTCCTCAAAGCTGGAGCCCCTCTTGACTGGTTACCTTGGCCACCGCAGGGTTTCCTGATGTTACAGGCAGATTTGGTCCCCTTACCACACTCCTGCTTATACTCGGCAGCAGAATCAATAAGCAGGAGGGGCCTGGAGTGCGGAGCAGCCTCAGTCAATTAGAAGTGGTTACCTGGCCACCTCTAGCTCAGAGGTGACTCCCCATCAGTCTCAACTCACTCCTGTCCCTGAGAGAGTAGAATGGTTCGGGGGAAGAGAGCACAGCCTTCAGGCTGACCTGGGCTTGTGTCCTGCCTGCATCCCTTACTGTGTGAGCTTAAGCAAGTTAGTGAGCCTCCCTGAGCCTTGATTACTTTTCTCTAAAATGTGATTAGTAATTGCCCCTCACAGAATTGCTGCAGGAATAAACAAGATACCATAGTGCCTAGCTCAGTGCTGGGCACAAAATAGGGCCTGACATGTTACTTCCCTTCTCCCCAGCTTCACCTCCCACCTATGCGGGGACAGCTGCCCGAAACGTGAATCTGTGTCTGAGCCTAGAATCATACAAGTGTGGAAGGGCGTGTGTGTTCCCCTGTCCCCACTGCTGGCTCTGTAGCGGGCTAGGGGAGGTGATTCTCAGCCCTGCCAGGAGACATCGACATTTCCACCTATGACATTGCCTGCTGGCTTTCCTCTTCTCCACTGTCCCCCACCCCTGCACATAAACAGCTATATATATTTTTCTCATTATAAAAGCAATCCACACTCATAAAAGATTCAGACATTGTAAAACATTCTAGACAGAAAGCTATGAGCATCTGCTGGTCTCCGAGGCTCCAGGGCTTAGATAAAAACTGAGGTGCAGGGGGTGCCTCCCAGGGAGACTCTGTTTTCACAATGTGTGAACTGTAAATTAAAAGATAAGATATGCTTTTCAAATCTTACAAATAACTCACTGTTCTTTTTCTTATTATCAAACAGAACAGATGCTCATGACAAATTCAGGCAAACAGAAAAGAAAGATTTTCTAATTATGCAATTTCACCCACCCAGAAACGCTGTTAATCGTTTGGAGCATATTCTTGGAAATGTTCTTCTGTGTATAGAGATGTATATTTCTTCTGTAATAGAAGTGGAATCCACTTTGCTGATTCTCCACTTTCTATATAGGGATTCATATTTCAGGAGAATAATTTTTTTTCAAAAGTAAAGCTTGCTTACTCAAATATTCCAACAACACGCAGGTGCATGGAGGGGCTTCCCTCTGTTCATTTCTTTGTGATCCCCTTTCCCTCCTTTCCCTCTATCCCACTGTAGGCAATTTAGTGGGATTCAGTCTTTAAAAGGGTATTGGGGTGAAATGTGCAAGCACTGCCCACGCCCAGGGTGGTTCTCACAGATCCCTACCGTCCCTGTCCTCTAGGAACCAAACGCCAACAGTGTGGCCTGGAACACCCAGTGTGAGGACATGCTCTGCTTCTCGGGAGGAGGCTACCTCAACATCAAAGCCAGCACCTTTCCTGTGCACCGGCAGAAGCTGCCGGGCTTCGTGGTCGGCTACAACGGCTCCAAGATCTTCTGCCTCCACGTCTTCTCCATTTCTGCAGTGGAGGTGCCGCAGGTAACGGGGCGCCTGTGCACTCTCAGCTCTGGCAAGGCTGACAAGACCAGGGAAGCCAGGCGCCTTGCTGGTGCGTTGCGTAAAGAGTAGCAAGGAGAGAAGAGTGGCAGCTGTGATGTGGAGGGAGGCAGTCTGGGTCTGGAACCTGCGGCCCTGTCTCCACTCCTTTCAACCTGTGTGACTGGAGGCAAACAGCTCAACCTCCCTGAGCCTCAGTTTCTTCCTGGTCCCCCTTCTGTAGGGATGGGAGGGGTATGCAGTGTTGTCAGCAGAGTGTGTTTTGTGGAGAGCCCAGCATGGGGCCGAGTGGAGAAGCAGCAAAGCTGGGAGTCCAGCAGGGTGTGTACATGAGCGCATGTGTGATGGTGGTGATGTGTGTGCAAGAGAGAAGGGGAGAGAGAGAGAGCGAGTGGGTGGTTGGTGAGGCCTGAGGTCTGTGAGCCAATAAGGGAGCATGGGACTCTGCACAAGCCCCCTGAACTAGGAGGAGGCCAGAACAGAAATGTGGTGCTGAAGTGTGGAGCCACAGAATGGGGGAGGGCAGAACCCCAGACAGGAGGCTGAGATTGACCTCCCGAGTGAGGGCTGGCCTCTCCTCCACCTCCTGCACCCCACGCAGCTGGTGCTCACCATAGGACTGCTGTAAAACAGAGACATGCACAAGCAAGAAACTTCAGCCCTGAGCATCCCATCCTCAGGACAGAATCACTCCTAAACATATTGGAATACATCCGCTTAGAGCTTTTTATGTGTATATATAATATATGCAGAATATACAATTAGGAGCATGTGATTTCATAAGAACATTTTTAAACCAAAGTGAAATTGCACTGCAAATACTGTTTCATGACTTTTATCTGCATAAGTATTGCTACCTATAGATGGAACCTCAGATTTCCTGTATTCCCTGAGCCTGGCCCGTAAACAGGACTTCTCATCCCCTTCCTTTATGGCCATCTTCTCATCTCACCTCACATTCCATTATGGCAGCCCCATCACTGTCCAGGAAGTGCTGGTGGCAAACTAGTCATCTGGCCTGTTCACTCAGCAATCTCCTGAAGCATGGTTCTGTGTCAGTAACTGTTCTTATCCAGTATGGCAAAATGCTAAGGTCTTTATAGACTCACGTAAGTTGTAGGAAATAGTACAGAGATCCCTTATACTCTTTGCCCAGTTTCCCCCAATGGTAACACTGTGCAAAGCTCTAGGACGATCTTCCCACCCATGTCAGCGTGTGTAACAGTCATGGCACTGAACACGGCCACCACCACAAGGTACCTGGCATTGCATTGCCCTTTTACAGCCAGCTCCCCTCCCTCCTGCCGGGTTCCCCCTCGTTGTATTTATGGTTGAATTTTGTCTTGTCTTGTAGATGTTTGTCTTGTCTGTCATGAGACTGACAGGCTGAACAAGCAAAGGGTATGCAAAGAAGCTCCGAGCAGGAGAGGAGGCTCCCCACCCGACTCAGTGCAGTTGCAGGCTGGCTCTGCCTCTCTTGGCTGTGCTGTCGAAGACTCAGTGTCCCCATCTGCACAAAAAGGCCCCCTCCAGCTCTGATTCTGAGGTTCCAGCTTCAGTCTGCATCTGTGAATAGTGCTGGATGATGATCCTGTGACCCCTCACATGTCTATGACATGGAAGGTACCACAGGGACCTGGCAATGCCCATTGAACTAAGAGGACACTGAAGCCACAGAGGAAGGGCTGCTGTAGGCTGCAGGGCGGGGCAGTGGTTCTGGCTGGGACTGGTCCCGATCTGTCATCTCCCAAGTGCTCAACATTGTGCCCATGTTCTTGGAAGGAGGAAGCAAGGGAGAGGTGAATAGGCAGCCTCGAGTGGCTCCTCAGGCAGTTGGGGGTTCCCAGGCCTCGGTTTCCTGTCTCTCCCCAGCAAGGCTGTGAAGCCAGGAGCCCCTGGTGGCTGTTGCACAGGTGGGCAGAGGCCCCTCCTCCAAGGTGACTGCTGTGTTTCTTCCCTGGCTCGGAGTCTGTGTGCCCATGGCAGAGGCCACCACTGGGCAGGGTGCTTACGCTGGGCCTCCCTGATTCTCCCCACGCAGATCCAGAACACTGGCCTGGAATGGAGACCTCGTCACGGCCCTCCCTCAGCCACTCACAGTGGCTGCCCATGGCATTCTGCCATTCAGAGGCAGAGACAGAGCCTGCACCTGGGCTCCCAAGGGCTGGGGCTCGGGTGCCTTTAGATGGCTGCATCCACCATCAGAGAGGACCTTGCAGCTCCTCACAGCTCTTCCCCAGCCCGTGAAGGGGAAGGCAGAGGGCAATGGCTCAGAAAGTACCACACTCTGGCTTGTGTGGGAACACTGAAGAGAGCAGCTTAGTGGAGCCCTGTCATCATGGGGGATGCCGAGACCCCATAAAGTGTCACGTAGAGAGGGCCTGGCTGTGGCCCCACCGCCTACCTGCGTGCTGGGACACCAAAGCCTCGCCGGATTTCCTTTCACTTTGGGGGCAAGCGTCTCCCAGGTATGAATACTGAATCTCCCCCACCTAATACCAATTTGCAGCCTGAGAAAGTCCTGTGGGCCCTCAGGCTTGAGCTCCCCAAGAGCCCCCCAGAGTCTGTGCCCCCGCCCTGGTGCTGCTCCCCACTCTGCAAGTGCGGGCTCTGTGAGAAGCGCCTGCTTCAGGTCTGGCTTCCACCATCAAGAAGGACCTTAAAAATGCCACAGTCCTCAAGAGCATTGGCTGGGGAAGCTTGGATGCGGTGAAGTTGACCCAGCACAAACTCACCAGGACCCAGGTTGCCATGAAAATAAAATACATAGCTAGGGGCTCCCCCAGGCTTCTAAGTCTACATGAAAAGGTAGAAGTCACAAAGGCCCTGAGTGCCCCCATCATCATAAAGCCATAACATGTCACTGGAACCTCGGACATCTCATACTGTGGTGATACCAGCATGAAGATCTTTTCCACCAGACATTCCAGCCCGGCCACACGGAGGAGGAGGAGGAACAAGTCATGTTTCTGTAAATACTATCTGCCCTCCAGTACTGCCACCAAAAAGTCAGCTGCCAGGACCTGAAGTGGCAGAACTCCTGGATGAAGACCACAGCATGAAAATAGCAGACTGTGGCTTCAGACTACATGTTGGCAAGACCAGAGGCTGAGCGCCTTTGCCGGGCCACCCCTTAAGCTTCCCCAGGACTCTCCCTGGGTCCCGAGAGTCATGGCCCCACAGTGGTCGTGTGGGTCTTGGCTCTCCCCTCCCATTGCATGGGGCCAGGGCCCTGCCATCTGGCAGGCAGAACTTCTTAGGCTCAAAAAAACATATTCAAGGAAAGTATTATGTACTGCCTATATTCCTTCCGAATTGAAATATTTATCAAGAAATTTCTGACCCTTGACCCCAGAGAGTGAACGACACAGGACCAACTGATGCAGGACCCCTGGGTCAATACTGGCCAGGAAATGCTCAGGCCACATATACAGCCACTCCTCAGTCACCTGGGTCCCCTAACAACCTGGCTCATGGTGGCCGTGTCATTCTGGCATATCAAGGAATGTGATTAGGAAAAAAATAGGATTATTCCATGGCTTTAGCACCACATGTTGCCAAGACCAGAGACTGAGCGCCTTTGCCAGGCCTCCCCTTAAGCTGCCCCAGAACTCTCCCTGGGTCCCAAGTGTCACGGCCTAATGCTGGGGGTCCCACTGACCTACCTAATGCTTGGATGTCCCACTGACCTTCTCCATCCCCCAGTTAAGTCCATCCTTTCTGTCCAACCAAAGGAGAGTCAAAGGCTGGAATGTTTGGTGAAACAGGTCTTCACTTCGGCCTCTCCCACCTTTACTTCAGAAATCCGGCAGCCCGAGGAGGACCAGGGCCAAAACAGAAGATGCCCAGAGAGCCACCTTGCCTGCCTGTTCCCTACTGGGCCTGGAGGTAGGTTGAACCAATCCCAGCAGATCTCTGAGTGTGGCCCTGTGGGCTCCTCCTCCACCTACTGCAACAGCAGCAGTAGGGGTGACCCAGGAGGAGTCACCTGTCCCCAGGATCAGCCCGGGAAGCCAGTTCCATCCATGCAGGAGGCCCAGGAGGAGTCACCTGTCCCCAGGGAACAGCCCGGGAAGCCAGAGCCCTCTCCACCGAGCATCAGATGGTGTGATCTCAGCTTCTCCCTGTGGAGAGAGCCATTGCTGCCAGGGAGCCACTAAATTTGTCTTCAGAAACACCAAACATGGAGACCTAAAGCCATAAAACATCCTACTGGATGAGGAAGGCAACGTCAAATACCTGGGCTTTGGCTTCAGCATCACACTTACAAAGAAGCAGACACTGCCAGCCTTTGGTGGCACGTACCCTTACGTGGCCCCAGAACTCTTCCTGGGCCAGGGGTGCTAGTGCCTGCCGTGGACATGTGCTTGGGGTAATTCTATGTTTTGTTCTTGACGTGCATAGTGTAGGTTAGAAGAGGCTGAAGTGGACTCAGTGAGCCACCTTTTGAGACTTTTAGAATTCAACTGCCTGAGAAGGGCCAGAAGTCAGGGCAGAAGACCACCATTCCTGCCAGTGCACCTGCCAGCCTGCAGAGAAAGCCAGCCATTTCCCATGAGGCCCTTTAGCATGACCCCATGGCCTCCCCCTCCAGCCAGAGCACCAGTAGAGAGTACATCAATGGTACTCAGAGGCCAAAAGCGGGTTTGGGGTGGAGAAGAGGAAGGAAATGGAGAGTTGCTGGCCAAATTCAAAGTCCCTTCTTGAAGCCTGAGACGGATAGAAGGAAGAGGTTTTGACATCCAGTGCACAGCAAGATGACCAGAGTCAATGAGAATGCACTGCATATTGAAAAACACCTGAGAGAGTCCACTGTAAATGTCTTTCAGGTTGTCCCACATTCAGCATTCAGCTGAAATCACCAACGTTCCTGTCAATGCACCTGCCGGCCTGCAGATGAAGCCAGACAGTTTCAGTGAAGCCCCCCAGCATGACCCTGTGGTCTCCCCGTCCACCTAGAACACCATCAGCAGTGATGAAGATTCAGAAACATTCTTGGCTCAGCAATCATCACAGGAAGCTCACGTGCTACAAGTGGACAAGAAGCCAGGGCTGTGGCAGGGCTGCCAGATGCTGCCTTTTTTTTTTTTTTTTTTTGAAGACAGAGTCTCACTCTGTCACCCAGGCTGAAGTACAGGGGTGCCATGTCTGGCTCACTGTAACCTCTGCCTCCTGGGCTCATGGCCATACCACCCTGAACATGACTGATCTCGTCAGATCTCAGAAGCTAAGCGGGGTCAGGCCTGGTTAGTACTTGGATGGCAGAAAATGTGTTTCAATGATTTTAAGAGTATTCTGCATCTATCCACTGGAGAAAATAAGCAATAAGATCACCCAAATATAGTTGCACGACTGATGACAAAAATCAAGTAGGTGGGTGGTCAAGCCCCACTTCCTGCATTTCATTGTATTTATTATGACTTTATTACTATTTTAATTGGCAAATCATGCTTGTATTCATTTATGGGGTACAATGAGGATTCGAGAGAGGTGTGCACTGTGGAACGAAAAAATCACGCTACTTAGCATCTCTACAATCTCAGAAAGACAAATTCCCCATGTCACAGAAGTGTTGATCTAAAAAAGTGGCCTCATCAAAATAGCCAGTAGATCAATGGTGACCAGAGTGGGGGAGAAGCAGAGCAAAGAAACTGGGGGTTTTCTGTCAAAGGACCAAATTCTGAGATGGACAGGAGGAGGAGGTTTTGACGTCTAGTGCACAGCAGGTGGGAGCTGGGCAATATGCTGATGCTGCCGTGTGTCCAGCACACTCGGCCCAGAGGCATTCAGCAGAGGACAGAGGTGTCCAAGCTGCTGCTGGGGTCAATTAGTATGATTCAAGTCAAGAAGGGATCTGTGACCTTCACAGGCCTCCTATCCAAAGCTATGGGTGAGCTGAAGGACAGCCTGGAGCCTCCTGGAGACCAGAGGGACCCTCCGCCCCACCTGGCCCAGGGCCCCATCTCTTCCCCCTGTCTGTCCCCTGCTTCCTCTGCCCTGCCCCTCCCCCTTCCTCCCCGCCTGGCTCACTGCAGTCCTCTCTCCACCTTTCCAAGGTGGATGCAGCTTCCTGCTCTCCTGAGGCCCCCACTGTGGCTCTGGTCCCTGCTGACCTCTGGGACTTTATTTCCCTGGCCCCCTCCCTGCTTTGTCTTTTGTTTGTCCCAGCCCTGCCCCCAACTCCCTCTCCCCCACCTCCTTCTCTGCCATTCCTAATCCCCTCACCCTGATTCCTTTTCTGCTACATTTTCTCTGGCTATCTCATCTTTCCTTTACAGGCTAATAATCTGCTCCTCTGTCTCCTAGATGTGTACCTTTTGCGACATGGAATGATGAAAATCTAGAAACTGGAATCTAACTTCTGGCTCTAGTCAGGACTCATGTTTTGTGAAAGGGAGAAAAAAAATCAACCCCTACCCAAACCAATAGCTAGTCTAGAGCCTGATATATGTGCCACTCAAAACATGGCTGCTTCCTTTGTTCTTCTATAGCTTATTATTCCTAAATGAGATGGGCCCTGAGACCACTGAGAAGCATTGCAGGGTGGAGTTGGGAAGGGTCTGAGAGCCAATCTTGCTGTCCCTTGTCCCCCAACCCCAGTTGACATGAAGCTGAGCTCCAGAGAAGAGCTGGGCCCATGGGACATTTGGATTTCACTCCAATTCCCAGTCCAGTGCTCCTGCCTCCAATGGTTCTACTTCCTCTGTCTGCTTGGTTGAGGAAGGGGAAGGAGTTCATGGCAGAGTGCAGCGCATGGGGAGAGAAAGCCAGGCCTAGCAAATGCCCCAAGAAGGTGTTGTGGCGCATTCAGTTCTGGCTTCCTGCCTGGGTGCAGGCCTTCGAGTGGGTCCTCCTGTTTCCCCATCTTCTGAGTCCCAGAGCTTCCTCAGAGCCTCCGTGGGTCCCGCCCCTGCACCCATCACATGGTGTCTGGTCCCTGCCTGCCTGGCTCACATCCCCACCCCTACCCGATACCCTATTTCCATCCTGGAACACCCCATTGGGCACTGCTGTTCCCTTTCAGAGAAGACTTTAACTGGCCTTGCCTGTCCCTTTTGCCTATCAAGTGAATGTCACCTCCTCTAGAGAAGCCCTCCCTGAGTACCCCATCTGCAGTAGGGTTACCCCATCTTCCACCCTCACTTTTCCTGGTGTTTCCTTCCTGGCCCCTGGCCAGGAAGTCTGCACTGATAGTCTCTCTCACCCACCCGGGGGCCAGCGTCTCTGTCTTCTCTGTACCTGCACACTGATGTGGGCATGAATGAAACAGGAAGGCCCCCGAGGTGCTGGGATTGGGAGCCCTTCACCCCATGAGAGGAAGGAGCCTTGAGGAAGGGGAGACGATCTTAGTGCCCCCTGCCCACCCTGAGGGTCAGCCCCAGGCAGGGCAGCCCACAGGGCCTTGGGGCTCCTGTCGCCTGTGCCCTGGACCAGTGGTCTGCGATCCTTGACGCAGCCACCCTGGGTCAGCTGTGGTCCTAGGGCAGGCATGTCTGGGCAGGCGGCACTGAGGAAGGACAAACTTTAAAACCCAGGGCTAGAAGGACCCATGGAAGGTCGGGAGACTCAGGTGAGTGACTCCGCGGCGGGGCCAGCGCTTTGAGGCCCCTGGGGACCCGGTAGAGAGGGCCCAGGGGAGGCCTCTGGAGGCGCTGAGCAGAGACAGGAGCTTCGAAACCCTCAGAGGGCACCGGTCCTTGTAGGGACAGCCGCGCCAGACGGGTCTTGGTCTTGGCCTTTGGCGGCTGAGCCTGGGCCTTGGCGGTTGAGGGCTTGCAGTTGGCTGTTGGGCACCCCGCCCCCGCCACCTGGCCCCGCCCCCGTCTCCATGGAGACCCGAGGCTGCCAAGGGCAGCTCAGCCTTGCCTGGCAATCCAGTACTTCCCGCTGAGCCTGCAGAAGGGCTCTCCTCCGGTGAGGCTGTGAATGTTTTCCTGGGGTGGGGCTGAAGCCAGAGCCCAGAGGTTTGCCCCTGGGGCATGGATCCCCCAGGCCACTCTCCCCCTTGGGCCACAGTGAAGGAGGCTCTGAGGCCAGGATAGCCAGCTCCTCCGCTGCAAGGATAGGAGCCCCTGGAAAGGCATTCCTGCTCTGGGCTTCCTCCCTCCCCCACATCAGAGCCAGTCATTGAAGAAGCTTGGCCAAGCTGACCACACTGCGATCTCTGCCAGGGAGGCTGAAAGAACATCCAGCCCCACCCACGGTCCCTTCCCACCTCAGGCTATAAGACAATATGACTCCCCACCTATTTTTTCATTTCCACTGGAAACACTAGTAAAATAATTCCTCACCTTCGATCCCAGAGAGCATCCCCCACTAAACCAGGTGACGTGGGACCCCTGGCTCAATGCTGGCCAGAGACGCTGCTGACACTATTCAGAGAACCTGGGCACCTGGGTCCCCTACAGCCCTGGTCATGGTGGCCATGGGATTCCAGCCTGAGAACACTTCAGTGTCAACACTGGAAAATAAATCAACTATCCCATAGCACATACCTCATTATAGAATACACAAAAGAATGGAAGAGTGTAGGAAATAATACGTAAAAGTTTCTCTTCAAAGCTTTCCTCTTAGTTCATTACAAATAAATAATAGTTTCTTCAAAAGTTAATTTACTTTAAAGCTTTTGCTAATAATCTTAAAGTAGCTGTTAGACATAATAAAGAAATAAGTGCATCCCGTGTTCTTAGTTCTTACACTTTAACTTCCTTATTTGGAAATGTTATCGCTTCTCTAAGCATTCCTCAAGTTACTTCCTCTTGTCCTTTGTTCTTCTCTGCCTTTACTTCTTTAGAAAATTTCCAAGTTTTTAGCCAATCAGGTTGAGCATAGAATGTGTCTAGTTCCAGCCAATGGGAACTGGACACAGCAGCAGGGCAACTGCATCGGGTTATGAAAATTATAAATGTCCCTGTCTCCTTTGTTCAGGTGTGCTCTCATGGCAAGAATGCCAGCGAGTTGTACCCTTCCTGAAGGAAATAAACTAGTCTTGCTGAGTGATCCATTGTCTTGGTGTGGATTTTTCCCAATGTTATAAACCTGTTTCCAACAAGAGGAAGTGTTCCACCATCAGATCAATGTCCCTTCCTCCCGGGATTCCCACCTGTCCTTCCCCATCTGCCCAAGTTTCCACCTTACAGTGAAACCAAAGAGGGCTCAAAGCAAGCCAGGATTTCCTACTTGTCATTTTCAGCTGCCTAGAAGGGCTAGAAGTCAGAGAAAGCCAGATAAGAGTCTTGTTCTCCCCAAGAGAGCAGAACCAGGAAGCCAGGAACAGGGTGGGAGTGTTGTGGGGCCCCTTGTCTCCCCAGTGTGCTGCTGTCCTTAAAATCCATGTTGGGGCCAGGCGCGGTGGCTCACGCCTGTAATCCCAGCACTTTGGGAGGCCAAGGCGGGTGGATCACGAGGTCAGGAGTGTGAGACCAGCCTGACCAACATGGTGAAACCTCGTCTCTAGTAAAAATACAAAAATTAGCTGGGCGTGGTGGCACATGCCTGTAACCCCAGCTACTCAGGAGGCTGAGGCAGGAGAATTGCCTGAACCTGGGAGGCAGAGGTTGCAATGAGCCAAGATCATGCCACTGCACTCCAGCCTGGGCGAAAGAGTGAGACTTCATCTTAAAAAAAAAAAAAAAAAAATCCACGTTGGGGGTGAGAGTCCCTCAGGTGTCAATACTGAATTTCTCTCCATCCAATGCCAGTTTGCAACCCCAGAGAGAGGTTCCTTGTGGGTCCTGCTTGAGCTCCAAAGGGCCCCTCAGAGTCTGTCTTCCCCACCTTGCTGCCATCCACCTTCTGGACGCGCCAGCCCGGAGAGGAGATGCCTTCCCCAGGCCTGGCTTCCACTGGCATCAGACAAAGCCAGAGTTGCTTCTGGTCTGTGACCTGTGGTAGAGCTTGACATCTCTTCTCCAGGAGCCAGGGCTCCAGGCTCTGCCAGCTGGGCTGGGTCAAGAAACCATAGGGAAGGGGCTACAGGCACCAGAACAAAACCTATGAATAGAGAAAGTGGCCTCCAGTGTGCACCCAGGCTGGGCCTCAGGAGCCATTCAGTCCTAGGTGCATGCCAGGCAACTTTGGCCTGTTCATCTTTCTTTGCTGATAGCAGCCTCTGTTTGGGGGACGTTCTTTGGGAGGGACTGACAGCCATGGAGGCCGGGGAGCATGCCTGAGCAGGGTGGGCTCCCTAGAGGCAGCCCAGAGAACAGGGTCAGGCAGGTTGCGGGTGGTAGGGGGCTCCAGCTCCACTGTCTAGGTAAGGAAACAGGCTGAAGAGAGGGTGGGTAGCATCCCCAGTGATATCCAGCCAGGAACTGATGGCAAGGCATTTGCTGTTTACCTTGTCCCAGCCACACCTGCCTAGCCACTTCCCAGTCTCTGCTTTGTCCCCCTTCTCGGGTTCTGAAATCATCCTGTTTTATGCCAGTCACCTGCACTGGAGCAGGGACCTTGCCTCGCTCACAGCTGCAGAGGCCTCGAACCCAGTAGGCTCTCAATCAGTATCTGTGGAATCGGTGAGATGGCATTCAAGCCCGAAGTATGTCTGCAGAGCAGGCCTGGGGACTCACAGGGGCAGTGAACATGCCTACTGTAATTCTCACAAAGGCTGGTGGGACTGTCACTCACTAGGCTGATTGCCTGTCCAATTTTGGGGATACTGAGCTCCCTACACTGGCCAAGCTCAGTTGATTTGTAGCTGCCCCCGACTTTCCTCAGCAACCTCAAATCAGACTCTGCTCTTTAGTTGCCAGCACCTATTACTAAAGAAGGGGGGCAAGAAAAATGGGGGCATCATAGCTGTAGGGATAAGGAAAAGGCAAAGAGTTTTGTACTTCCAGTGATGGTGGCAGTTGTGGCTGCCTGGCCCAGGGCACCATCTCTTTCTCCTGAGATGGTATGAGGGGTGGAGTGGGAGAAAAAGCAAACCCCACCAAACCAACACCTAGTCTAGAGTCTGATTTCAATGCCACTCAAAACACATTTGCTCCCTTAACTTTCCTATAACTTGATGGGCCATTTGGATTATACTCCAAGTCTAATTCCCAGTCCAGTGCTGCCGCCTCCAGAACCTCCCTTCATCTGTCCTCCTTGCCAAGGAAAGGGGTGGGTTGGCGGGCACTCCCTGCCTGGCTGCAGACGACAACCATCAGAAAGCTGTGAAGCTGTGGCCCCAGTACCTTGTCTCCGTGAAAAGGGCCTTTTAGCCTCAAGAAGAGCGAGAAGGGACCCAGAGCCCTTCTGAAACCTAAAGGGCATTCTGAATGGACCCGTTTTGCACTGTCTGTGCCCTACAAGGTTGTGAAGGCCTCCAAGTGGACCCTCCTGCTTCTTGATCTTCTGAGGCCCAGGGCTTCCTCAGAGCCTCCATAGGTCCCACCCCTGCACCCATCACATGGTGTCTGGACCGGGTCTGCCTGGCTTACTCCCCCACCCCCAACCCGCTGCTCTGTTTCCATCCCTGGAACAGCCTGCTGAGCACTGCTGTTCCCTCTCTTAGAAGACTTTCACAGGCCCTGCCCACCCCTTCTGTCAATGAAGTGAATGCCACTTCCTCAGAGAAGCCCTCCCTGAACACTGCATCTGCAGTAGGGTCACCCCAGCTTCCATCGTCACTTTTCCTGGTGTTTCCTCCCTACCCTCTGTATCTATTGGGAGTTTTCTGCACTGATAGACTAGTCTCTCTCGTCTGCCCAGGGCCAGTTTGTCTTCTCTTTCCCTGCATATGAGAGATGCTCAATGTTCATTTGTCAGCTATAATGAAACAGGAAGGCCCCCACGGTGCTGGACTTGGGAGGAGCCATTCACCCACAGTGAAGAGGAAGCCTGGAGGAAGGAGAGAGGACCTGAGTTACTGTCCCTGCCCACACCAAGGGTCAGCTCCCAGCGGGGTGGGCCACTGGGCCCTGGGGTGCCTGTCACCTGTGCCCTTCACTGGTGGCCCACAGGGGACACAGCCACACTTGGTCAGCTGTGGTCCTGGGGCAGGTGTGTTCAGGCAGGTGGCACTTAACAAAGGACAAACTCCAAAATCGAGGACTACAAAGGACCCATGGAAGGTCAGGAGGCTTAGGGGAGTGACCCCATGGCTGGCCCAGTGCATTGAGGCCCCTGGGGACACGGTGGATAGGGCCAGGGTGAGGCCTCTGTAGGTGATGAATGTGGCCAGGAGCCACAGGACCCGCAGAGGGCACCTGTCAGTGTGGGCGCAGCAGTGCCTGGAGTGAGGTGGCCAAAGCTGCCTTGGGGTCCCAGTCGGTGCAGGGCCTTGGCCCTTGGAATCCTGTTTCAGACCCACCCCTGCCCCCCTCCACCCTGTCTGTGCCTGCAGCCATGGTGCCCAGGCTCACCTCACCACGAGACACCAGGACACCTGTCCATGCATCCACTCCTGAGCCCTTCCCTGTCGGGCGGGTAGTAGGGCAGGGAGGGGTGGGAATCTGATGTAACCAGGGAAGGGAACGACCCCCAGGCCCAGAGAGTTTGGAGCCTAGCCTCAGCCTAGCTCGTGGAGGAGTTGGTGCTGTGCATCGGTAGCATCTTCCCAGACACAGAATTTGTAGTCAGTATAGTTGGGAGGCACCATGGAGCCGGGATTGGCCTCCACCTCACCTGAAAAAAAAGAGAAAACCATGGGCTCCTTGACACCATCCGCCAGGGAGCTGGCCTGGCATAGGCTAACTGGGACCCAGGTCACTGTCCAGATCCTAAGAAGGCTGGCCTTGCTCTCTAGAGAGAGAGATGAGTATCACCAACACTCAGTCACCTGAACATCATTCAGCTCCTGCAAGTGGATCGACAAGGTGGACACTGTCTATTTGGTGACAGAGTACACCAGAGGAGAGCTGCACCACCAGATATGCACCATGGCCGTATCGAGGAGGGGGAGGCCGGGACCATGTTCAGGCCGATTCTGTGGGCACTGCAGTACTGCTACAGAAATAACATGGCACATTGAGACTTTCTGGGAAAAACTGAAGAGGACTCTCAGCGAGCCAGCTTTTGAGACTTTTAAAATTCAGCTGTCTCAGGAGAGCCAGAAGTCAGGGCAGAAAACCATTTCTGCCAGTGCACCTGCTGGCCTGCAGAGGAAGCCACATTTCCCATGAAGGTCCCCAGTGTGACCCCCTGGCCTCCCCCTCCAGCCAGAGCACCAGTAGCAGTGGGAATTACCCAGAAGGAGCCTTGTGCCAGTGATATCCCAGGAGGCGGCTCTCTCCAAGCCTTACAGCCTCACTGACAAAAGCCAAGGCTGCCATGGGGCTGCCAGATGTGTTTCTTAAACATCTGAACTTTATTGCTAGTGTCCAGCTGAGAAAACTCATAGCAACAAAATTTTGCCCATTAACTAGTTCAACAGCTGTGGCCAAGACATGAACCAGGTGGGTGGGGAGGCCAAACAACACTCTCTGCACTTCATTGTTTATGTTTCCTAATAGTATTGTTTTTAATTGGCAAATAATGCAATTCGTTCACGGGGTACAATTCGAGGATTAGATAGATGTGTGCACCGTGGAATGATGAAATCCTGCTACTGAGCATCTCTACCACCTCAGAGAGACCAATTCCACATGATGTCCCGGAAGTGTTGATCTAAACAAGTTGACCCCATGAAGTAGCCAGTAGACGGATGGTGACCAGAGCTGGGAGTGGTGAAGGGAGGGAAGGGGGTGTTGTTGGTTAAAGGACCAGTCTCAGATGAACGGGAGAAGAGGTTTTGACACCTAGTGCACGGCAGGTTGACCAGAGTCAATGAGAATGTTTTGCATGTGGCAAAACATTGCAGGAGCCAGGCAAGACACTGACGTTGCCGTGTGCCCAGCACACCCGGCCCAGAGGCATTCAGCAGAGGACAGAGGTGTCCAAGCTGCTGCTGGGGTCAACGAACACGATTCAAGTCAAGAGGGGATCCGGCAACCCTGTGGCCTTCACAGGCCTCCAGAGCTATGGGTGAGCTGAAGGACAGCCTGGAGCCTCCTGGAGACCAGAGGGACCCTCCGCCCCACCTGGCCCAGGGCCCCATCTCTTCCTCCTGTCTGTCCCCCTTCCTCCCCGCCTGGCTCACTGCAGTCCTCTCTCCACCTTTCCAAGGTAAACGCAGCTTCCTGCTCTCCTGAGGCCCCCACTGTGGCTCTGGTCCCTGCTGACCTCTGGGACTTTATTTCCCTGGCCCCCTCCCTGCTTTGTCTTTTGTTTGTCCCAGCCCTGCCCGCAACTCCCTCTCCCCCACCTCCTTCTCTGCCATTCCTAATCCCCTCACCCTGATTCCTTTTCTGCTACATTTTCTCTGGCTATCTCATCTTTCCTTTACAGGCTAATAATCTGCTCCTCTGTCTCCTAGATGTGTACCTTTTGCGACATGGAATGATGAAAATCTAGAAACTGGAATCTAACTTCTGGCCCTAGTCAGGACTCATGTTTTGTGAAAGGGAGAAAAAAAAATCAACCCCTACCCAAACCAATAGCTAGTCTAGAGCCTGATATATGTGCCACTCAAAACATGTCTGCT